CTCGGGCTACCTTTGTTAAACAGTAAAAGTTGATTGTCACATATCACAGAATGGTGCAATGGTAGCGACGTCAACTATCAGAAATGCGTACTTTCTGCCAGTCTTTACCGACTTTTGTCTATTTGACCTCAAAACGGCCCTAGTAGCTCCATGCGGTGTAGAAATCATATGGGAACATTTCTTTGTTGCAACTTGGAAACGCTAAATTGAAGTTGTCTATGCAAGCGTGCTCTTGGACACTCTTGCACGATTAGCTCGCTAGGACGCCCCTGTTTATTGTAGACTTACGATGACGCTTCAAACTATCGAGTACTCCTTTTTTCACCAAATGCCCTTCAATCTGGAAAAACAAATTTGCGAATTGTTGCCGTGAGGTTTTACCGGTCTAAAGCTGGTCTAAATCGTAAATCGCACACTGAATCGCCCGAATAGCGATATTTTAACCTAGGCACCCGGGGCATAACTTTTACTATAAACTTTGCGTTATCTCTGGTTCTTGTGAGCCAAATGAAGTCTATATATACAAATGCAAAACATACCATGGTAGATAATATTATGCTTTTCAATGCTTCATGTGATCTCGTTAGGAAGCCTAGAATTCTGACCAACTCAAGATAAAAATTATTTTGATTTTTCCCTGAATTCTTACGAAAATATATTTATACGAACTGTTGTTGTATAATATTATTTTATCTTTTCAACAAAAATAAGTACATTTTACTCAAGATTCCTTAGTGTTTTTTGCCGTATTTCATGCTCCTTTGAAATTTTCGTTCTCTTAGTTCACTTTATCTTATTGAAAGCGAACCCCATGGAACCTAACCAACTTGATTCGCTCTAGCAAAGCGTTGATATGTTTTAAGCTCACACACTGCCCTCATAGGATGTTGAATCGTGTGGTTATGCGTGCTTTAATGACTACAGTAAAAGCCGAGGGTGTAGGATACACTTTTGAATCCCATTATTATTACATTACAATTTAGATTTACAATTAGAATTACAAATACAACTGATAATATTCCTCCGTGTGAAACCCTAATTCCTTCTATGTAGCACTTCCAAAAGTAAGTTCCTGGCTGTTTATAAACAGTTTTCGTTTGAACAGATACGACGAAACAATATTGTAGAACGAGTAGTTTTATATACACAAAACTTTAGTCGTATTTGCTGAACAGCGGAATGCTTAAGGTCATTATAGGCGCATTTGACAAGGAAGAAAACCTTTATGAAACCTTTATTCGCATGATCGAATATGTTCTTACGGGGGTAAATGTAGTGGTTTGTACGTCGAGATCGAATCAAATAATGTGAAATCAATACTTGTTTTAATTTTGTACTTGTTTGTGGTTAATGGTACCTTCTCGCTACGGTGGCTTGGACGGTTGAACCCCTGGCTGAACGCCGGTTGATATCGCGCCGAGCACGTATACTACACGACGAGTATGATTAAATAAATAAATAAACAATGTAAATACTACCTTAATTCCAGAGTGCCTCTTTTTGTTCAACGTTTAACTAATTTTGCGCACTATCAATCCTGCTAGTTATCTCTGTGGCTAAAGTCGCCTCCTTCCAGACAATAATCTCTGATATTAGATCATCTGCATAACATAGCATCGTAAGCAGTGCCTTCCTTTCCTCGAACTTATCACTCACTTAGATACCAAGCAAGAATGCCTGGGAAATATGGAATTTTTATCTTTACCTTCAGCGTCTCCTAGTTAATCAAGTTAAAACATTTCTGAGGTTTGGAATACAAGCAAATTAGAGAACTAGAATTTGTACCGCCTTTTGCCCTTTTTTGAGCATGCTTCTGGGTTAGTTTTGGGGAAGCCCATCTTCTAGACATGCGTCTTTTTCTCCTTTAGCTAGTCATTCTTTTCATTACAGAGGCTTCAAGTGCTTGATTTATTATAGTTTTACCAGTTCTATAAACCAAAATATTGCATATTGGCATTGAATTAGGCTTTGCCATGAAGGCGGTAATAATGGTATCAGAGACTTTTCAAACCCACATTTCTCAACGAGTGGAAAAAGTGAAGGGTAGCATAGGTTAAACGGCACACAAGTATAACAGCAATATGTCGTATTAAAATATAAGGAGACAATCCTACCGTGCAGCATGAAACAATTGTCGCGAGCAAATAATAAATATAGACATTAATCTTAAGATGCTAGAATCAAATTCGGTCTTTTTTAAATGAAAAAAAATGCTTATGTTCTTTAAATTTTTTCGAAGTGTCGAGGTACTATTTCCTAAATACGATGCAAATTGACATAATCGACGAGATTAAATACGAGCAAGGTGTCCAAGACCACAACAAAAATGAGGAGTAGATAGACCTTATGAACGTGTATGTCAAAGCACTCCGTAAAATTTTGACCCAGACAGCTACGAAAGTTCCAAAAATCAAAAAATTATCTCCATATACAGGAACAATCTAGACAGCTTCAACAACGACCATCATAGTTAGATACCGTCCGTTACTAACGTTACAACGTTTAAGCTGAGTTGAAGGCGATGGCTATTAAAAGTTTCCACATTTCGTCAAAGCTGAAGTTGCGAACAGGAATGCCAGAACACTGGTGACCCTAACATGTCTTGCTGTTGACTCTTAAGATCAAAATTCACATATTACGTATCATATTCATAGCAGTTTCTTAAAGAGTGGTAATGTAAGGAAAAAGTGTTAGCTATTTTGACAAGTATATATACGGATAAATCAATAACACGGAGCTAAAATAAACCTTAAAGTTTATTTGCCAAGAGTGAGCTATATAGGAATTTGCAACCCGGTAACAGATACTCTTATAAGGCAGCCTTTGACGGCAGCACAATGAAAGAATATTCGCTTGGTGCTGTTCTTTCACGAATTGACAATATCTATGAGTTTTATAAGGCTAAGTACAAGCCCGCAATGCGAAAAATTGCAATTAAATAGCACGAAAAATTGTTGCGACAAAGTTGCGTTAAGTGCATTGAATACAACTAAATATAATAAGAGATTTTTTAACAAACATTAATTCAACAACTATATATTGTTGTTATTATATATAAAACATATTTAATATAATAATAATATTTATAATTATATATAAACAACTAATTATTGATGTCGATAATGAGTAGCAAGGCAAAGGATTTCCTTGTGTGTTAGACACCGACTTTTTGAACGCAATAATTAATTAAACAGGGAACAAAGGATTTTTGCGTAAAACACCAAAAGTCAATACCTCTACCATTCACAATATGCAGTATCGTGGACAACAAACCGTATACGATATGAGATCTGTTTATTCTGAGAGAGCGTTCGCACAGAATCGATTCATAATATGGTACCGCTCAGTTCACACGCTCCGATTTTGCAAACGCTATTCGACTTCTGGAAGTGTATGTCGGAGTAAAGTGAGTTGCTGATTACCGTGATCGGAGTAGCATGATAAAGTGTGTTAAAACAATTTTAAATATTAGGTTGATACTTAAGAAATACCGGTTCTTGTTTTTTGATTTTCATTTCTGTTAGTATGTTTACTGGTGGTCAGATCTTATACACTAGCTTCTTTACTTTACAAACATACTGTAGTTGTTTTGTTTGAAGTATAAATCTCTTCGCTAGTTCGCTTTTCTAATGTTACTATTGTATTTTGTAAAATGTGATAATTTGGAGATTCTATAAAATAAAAACCTCCTTTTGCTGGACCTGTGCACTCCAACCAGTCACTTTTGGAGAAAACTCAGTTGTGGATAAATCTATTTTTATAAAAGGTTAAGATATGAAATCCGTATTTTTCATAGTAGTGTGAAGTTTTAATCTAATTAGACCACAAACCAGTCTCATTCACATGCATATATATATAAATTCGCAAAAAAATGCCTATAATACAAAGTATTGCATAGCACATCCAGGGGAACACAAGTCTTTATTCGTTTTAGCATTCTGTCGGTATTATATATATACATACATATATATTAGTTCTGGATAACGGAAAAAAGAGCCTCCGTAAACTTTATGCAGCTTGGCTCTCCTTTACGTGCACCGTAGCTCTTTGAATAGAAAATCATCATGAACACGTGAATCTCTCAGTAACTCAGTACACGGTATTCCAACACAGCCATATTAGAGCGCAAAGCTCTAATGAACTAAACATGGACTAAACAATGATGGTGTTTGGTGAACGTCATGTACTAGCTCCTTTAAAAGAGGTTCCTTTTAAAAAGTGAGACGAAAAGTAATATATCTAGTAACTTCTATCCGGGTGTTTGTGACTTCGTATGTTCTTAATACAACCTACGAATCAGAATTACTTTGAAAGGCTCTACTTCTAAGGCATTGCGCACCAACGAATGCCCTTGCAGTCGGCAACTGCCAATTTAACTTAACTGCCCCTAAAATCTTTTATTGGTTAATCGATAATGAATTCGTAAGAAGTTTCGGAGGGACGTCTGGATGCAAATTTAGACTCAATGCCGTAGCAGTTCGCTTATTTTAAAGCAAATTTTGAAATTTGTATGTTCACATGTCTACGATAATATGATATACGGATAAACCTACGGTATTTCACATAGTTCAGGGATCTTTACTTTCTCTATGTGTGTGTTTTCGTCTAGGTTTTTGTTTGTAAAAGCTTATATTTTTTGCTTATCTAGTTTCTATTGGATATATGTACATATAATTGGATGAATTGATGTATACATCTGTATTGTCAGTTGTTATAAAAGCACCTACCTCAGCCAAAAGCGGGAATGGAGCCAAGTGCTGAATGATGCGTTTGAATTTTTCAAAATAGGCATTCATACCCGTTAGAACGGTATAGAAATGTTATTTTGACTCGACCAGACTTTTTGACTGACGACGTGAAAGCTTGAAGCAATAATCAAATAAAAGTATCTCTGCAACGCTTGACGAGCGAGTTCTTAGAAATGAGTTATGTCTGAGAAATAGAAATTACAGCTTATTATTTGATTTGCTTACTAATAAGATCTTTGTCTTATTTTTCAGATATAGCAGCCTGGGAGATACAACCAATGGGTGCGCTTCTGGCAACCACAAGCAAGCCTTTAGCTCGAGTCCTGTAGCTTATTCATCAAAGTGCACGGCCGCATCACACGTTAGAAAGCTCATAACTAAAAACGTCAAACACCATGTCCCTAATATAGTTTCCAAAAGGGGTAATTATCATTTATTGCTTAACATTATTAAGCTTGTTTGCATTTGTCGATTCTGCAAATATTTCGCAAATGTTTTATTCTAGGGCGTAACGAATTCGGGGAATATTAGCTACTATTAAACTATGACAACTAAATTGTTACACTGCGAGAGATTAGTTTTATTCGTTCAAGAAAACGGTAAATGTTACCTAGCTATGAAGTGCGCCTCACTGCAGTAAGATAGAGGAGTTTAACATGGCGTGTAGCAATAGGGCCGCTGCCATATTATCCAGCCAATATTATTATTGTGAACAGTACTGTTTCGGATAATCCTAATTGTTGCCAACGCATTGAAATTGCATCTAAACATAAGAAGAGCTTACCTAGTAGCGTCACCTGTTTACAAATTATGGTACTGTGCCAATTTGTTTTTATGGACTAGTTTACTCAGCATTATTTGTTTGGCGATATTGAAATTTCGCACTTTTATGAAGATTCCTTTGAAGTTGCATGAAAATATACAATATTGCGCTCTGACTGTATTATAGCACCATTTATTTAGTCACAAATGCGAAAAAATTACAAAGACTACAGTTACATCAACGCTCCTCCTTGTACTATTGCTGTAACACGGAACATGACATAATGGTACAATTTATCAAACAACGTGTCTTGAAAGTTCATTTGTAAACAGATACATTCGAGAAAATAAGTTGAACCTAAATCTTATTTTCATGACAAATGTTGCTATTTACATTGAATTTCATACTATGTCTTCTAAATACTGGCTTACCAAGTCGTATTTACACTGTCACCACTATATTTCAGTTTTGGGATTGGATCTGTACAGTGGCGACGCGCCTAGACCTGAAAACTCCGACAACGATGAAGATTCATTCTTTGGTTGAATACAAAATACCGCAGTCAAAGCAATATGCATTCTTACTATGTATTAGGTTTTTTGGTAAGTAACGGCGGTTTTTCTTTGTTAATTTCTTTCTAATTTTTCGTTTGCTGATAGTCTAGTGTTACATACCAAAAAGTTCTTTTTTACTCTGCAATGCCTGACTTTGGATTACAAAAACGGGTTTATCCAGTAGTAAAAAGAATTTCTTAAACTTATTACGCCTGCTATACAAAGGCCAAAAAGCTGCCGGAACAACTCTGGGTTCGTCCGTGTGTACGATGAGGGCTTATCATTCAGCGCACTACCCAGAGAGTTTTTTAAGAGGGGAATTTATAAACCTCGTCTTCGGATATCACACTTCTTATCTAGGCATTTGCCACGTTAACTAGTATTTTCTAACTACAGTACCCATATATTTTACACGTTCTGTATCCCTGGTTTTGTGTCTTTCTATGTTTTAATATTAGTTTGATTCAGAAAGGAACCATTTTCCTACTGAACGTGAGCTTAGAAATGCTAGGCTTTCTACCTGTGTAATGTTCGCTCCTGTTTGTTTTTGAATGCATTCATACCCTTTATTACGTTCCCGGATATTGCAGTTTAATTATCTTCACCTTGAAGCATCCATTTATTATGCACATATTATTATAAGTGAATACGCGGTTTTTTCAACCTTTATGTATTCATACGTGTAGTATATTCATATGTGTAGTATATATTCTCCTATACGCCAGCATTGCACGTGATGTGTGAACTATTTGGCGAATTTTCTATTTTATGAAGATACGCCTGACAACATCCGTGGCCGGTAAGGACCTTGAGCAGGTGACAGACCACTTCTCCAAAGCACGCCCCGTATCTTTTTCGTTTTTTGTATTAACCTTCCAATCCAGGCAGCAACAATTATTGTGCTTTTCAGCTATGGAGGCAACGATTCAGGGGGTGCAGATTGCTCTACTTGCTCTACTACTTACTCGAAGGGCTAGCACCCACTGTGTTCTCTTCAGGTGACATTTACTTCTTTATACCTTTATAGCCTTTGTTCAGATGGGAGCCACTCAGAGAACTACGGAATTTATTACCAAGGCAAGCTGTCTATTCCTTTTCTCACCCGGTTTCCTAGTTATCGGTATCAGCTTGCCAGGGCGGCCAAGAGAGCGTTCTTCCCTCTTTGCACCATATATGTATTCTATCTGAACTCAGCTCAATCATTTTTACCTAGTAGGCTTTGTTTTCTAGTTTCGTCTTAGTTCTGGCAGAACTCATGATGCCAAATCGTTTACAAGACTACCGTGCTTAATCCATAGTGGCCTGTGTGCTTCGTCATAAACAAGATTCTATTGGTATCAAGTATTGGTCCCAAGATAGACCCTGTAACAATCAACGTTTCTGCTGCATTCCGTGCTTACTACGGCTTTGCGGTCGTCTCTAAAGAAACCGTTCACCACCCTTTTATCTTCACTACGATGTACCTCAGCAGACTGCACCAATGGTATCAGTTTAAGCTAACATTCCTGGGACCTTAGTGATGACACCAATTCTAGGAGAGCCTTGATCGGCGTTGGACTTGATGCCGTCTACTAGGACATTGTCCCTGGCGTCAACTGTTGCTACCGCTTCTAGTGGAGGGACTGTGGATGTCTTGAACCTGATTACGCTTGGCGATGGTCCTTTTTTAATAAGCTCTAGAAACCTGTCGTCGCAGTCACTTCGCTCCGCAATTAAAGAAAGTGTCTTCAAGAATTTCTTTACCTGCCATATTTATTCTAGCGTATACCTTTTCTGGTCATTTATTCTTGAGCAGAGATGTAATCCTCCTTTAAAAGATAATCCCTTTTTTAGTCCTACCATGTCTTGAATGTGTTTCTTTCGAGTTTCTTTTTTGTCGATCTCTCTTATGATATCGACTGCGCACCATTTCCATCTATTCTATCTGGTTCTTCGCTTAAATCTTTTGTTCCCCTTTAGTGGCTCTACGTTTGTCTTCTTTTATCGGAGTACCCGCCTTCTTTACGGTGTCTTTTCTTGCTTTCTTTGTGCTCTCGGGGTGTTTGGGACCTTCATTATGGCGAAGTTTTGAATAGTTATAGTGAAACTAGCTTATGGAGCTTCATCCAAATCGTATGAAGTTAGACCGGACTTCTTTTTCTTCAGTTCTCTCCTGTTTCCAAGCATTTATACTTAAAAATAGAGCCTTTCCCAGTGTTCATGCAGTGACCGTTTATATTTTAACCTGAAACGGTCTAATGTGTCTTGGATCTTTGTCGGCTTGCTTGACTGGACCCTGGCTGCAATCACCACAAAGCGCAAATTTTACGAGTAAAGTGGAGTTTTTAAGTTGTCGGTTCCCTATATGGATGATCAACTCCCAATTTTTAAACAAGAGTTTTTTTTTTAACAAAAATTGCACTCCTGCTGTTCAGGCATTTTTAGGGCAAACATTACTAATTAATACGAAGTTTGAAAATCCACTTGCTCATTCGCGCTGCAAAACGTGAGAAATAAAAATTTCTCGCTGATCTGCATTTTTCTAGTCACATAATGACGTATTTTACATATACTTTGTACTCTCTTAAGTCGCTCGGAACCGGTATATTTGTCCGATATTTATGGACCGCTTTTTAAATATAAGCGTAGATAAGGTAAGCACAGTTGATTAGCTTATCAGTAAGGTTAGCTTGTTACATTCAAACATGATATTGTGACATAAACAATGCACTTCACTAGCTTTCAGTTTTGACAGCTTTTTTAAAAGAAGATAAAAAATGACTAGAAGTAGTTTTGGAAAGCTCACTCTAAATGGTGTGTTGTTATTTTATTTGTACACTTGCAAACATTTGCACCAGACTGTTGCATACATTTGTACATTTAACGATATATCAACGGAGAGTGCTCTGTACCCCGTGTCTCTAAACGGTATTGCGGCGGCGTTGTGTTCACACTTCATAGATAAAAAAATAAGCGTGTTTTCAGGTGCTACCGTCGCATTTCCATCGTGGAGATCTAAGTTTAGGCGTGAGAACGTGTATCGCATTTTGATGCAGCTCATTAAGAGCTTTCAATTGGTATTAAGATCAGGCCTCCGTAAAGGTCTATGTAAGACTCCATGTTTGCTCGTTTGTCCACGATCTAACCAGGAGAACAAACTGTGGACAAAAAACCCCACCCCTAAAACTTAGTTACACGCATCCATTAGAAATTCCAAACAAAAACCATCACAAAGACTCTGAGTACTTACTCTAAGTTATAATAATAGACTGTACACTAATAAACGAGTGAACTTTTAGCACTAAACTAAGCTGCACGACAATGTTAATGACTGCAACTTAAGTGTCGTTTAACTGCGTGACGGCGGTGGAACCGCCTTCAGACGCCGGCATCCCACATGAAGAAGCGGCGCTGTTACCGTATTCGCCCCGTTTTTGAGTGGGAAGACGTCGGTTTAAGTATAGGAACTTGTAGGTTATTGAGTTTATTGCAAGCTTTTGATTGGCGTGAAGAAATACTATGGCTTTCATATGCCACACATACTCTTAGCATACTCCTAAATCAACTCATCAAAAAAAAAATAAAAAATCGGACCTTACAGGCAGGCATCCACACAAACACCACTAGCCCCAATAAATATAAATTATATTCGGTAGATAGTAGATGAATATGATTGTTAGACGAGTTCATATATTAGCTATAGTCTTCACAACGGGCGAAACAAATTTAGCGAGTTGCTTCCGCAGCTTTCCGGCATCGGCAAAAAATCAATTTTACAAATTCACTTCATAATATGACAACTTTAGAGTACATACCAAAAGTAAAATTTGTGAACTCAAAAAAGCGATGAAAACTGTTTTATAATAAAAGTAAACAAGAATGGAGGTTTTCAGAAATATCTAATACCTGGCCATCAGCAAACGAAAAATAAGAGGAGCGAGACAATAAACAAAAACCGTTATTACTTTCAGCATGATTTAATAACTGCTACTAATGGCACAAGATGTTTCTTCTAACTTTAAGCTTTGTTTAGCTGAATCATAACTGTTCAGAACTTAATTGTTAACTCTGGCTGGATACTGGAAAATCAACCAAACAACCATTTGTCGGACATGCGGCTCAAAATAGAACACCATCCTTTTGATAAGTTTAGTGTACCGTCAAATGATTAAGACTAATTTCATACCGCTTCAATGACAAATGGCGGATGCTACATGTCGCTCAACGCTGTCAGTTATGATGTATAACACAAATGCCACGTAATTTGAGGTAATATACAGATCATAGTACAGATTGTGGCTCGGTCAAGGACACAGTCGACATCATAGTTAAGGCTAATAGAAAAGTCCCATATCCTTGTTATCGGCTCTATAAGTAAGCAAGGTAATGTTATTATAATATTTTGCCTGGTGATAGGTGTTTTGTTGATGTACGCTAGGGGTCGAACTAGCAATGTGCCTGTCCCAGCGTATCAGTAGCGGTACACCATTCGCTTACTTTACTTCACCGTATAAAAGATATCTTTATGTTCTCGTTTCTCAAGGCAGTTGCGGTAATTTGGTTAGGTAATGGAAAGTTGAGTTATTAAAATCCTCATTTTGCTCATCGAAAGGCCTGTACTCAAGCTATACTACGTACCATCAATAAGCTATTATTGTATATAACCAATAAGATCCCTCGAAAAGACACACAACACAAGAGCTTGCGAAATACGTTTTTTAACATGCAATATGTTTTTAAATACACTTCTTTCTTTACAAAATGGTAAAATACTTTAATTAGCAATTGTTTTCGAAAATAATTGTTAGCCTACTGTTTCTTTTTGGCACGGTTAAGCAAGCTTTACAATATCGCCTTTTTGGTAAGTTTCACTACTATTCACGAAAAATTCCACACCAATATGTTAGGCTTGCTAACAATATTCAGTTTCAATAAATTGGAAAAATATATAGTTGTCAACAATAAAAGGCCTTTGTCGATCAGTGCAGTTAGAAATACCTACAATAAAGATTGATGTCATAGTATTCCCTCGTATTAACTTTCCTGTTAATACGGGAGAATCAAGCAACTAGACTTAGTCAGATATAAAGCAGCTATTCACGAATCTTTTTATCGGATTGTTCAAAGCTATTTAGCAGGTCTAAAACCCCAAGTAACGTTTAGACTGTATAAAGTAGAACAGCGATAGTTTTGGGAAACATAAGGAACTGAGACGATGGTTTGTTTCAGTTTTTTCTTAGTCCAGGCCGTAATTGAATCGTGGCCATAAGGTCGTGTGTTGTCGTTGAACCACACATCCATGAGGCTACTTAGAAATTTGAAACTTGGCAGCATTGACTTTTTTTTTGACAATACTTCATAATATCAGATCATTTTTGATTGCGAATATGATTGGGAGATTAAACTTGAAGTTGTTCGATACTACTGCGGAAGTTTTCTGTCCTAATCAATACCATTCCTACGGCCAAGCCTTTTCTAATGCGCGGCACAGAGTGATTTATGTCTCGTTCATGGCGGCGGTGTTTTCTAGGCGGATATCTTGTAAGTAATAGTTGCGTAAATTGTCTCTAGAGTACACCATACGTGTTGCCACCTCAGTTCATGTATGTTTGCTTTACCTTTTTATCTTCAGTATTTTCATAATAATTTTATAACATATGGTTCAAGGAATCTTATATTAAGTCATCAAAGGACTGTTTTTTTTCTTTTAACTCAAAGGGCTGATCATAGCAACTCGTTCTTTCCTTAAAAGCCGCGAAATGTATTCGTTTCCTAAGCGGCACTCAATTTCACACCGTTTTTAAAAATGATTGCGTTAGTTACGAGTTATTTCACTGAACGCTTCTTGTATTTTCACCAATCCTTAATAAATTCCGTTGGCGCTTTTACCTTCGAGAAATAGAAACTTAATCACTAAGTATTGATTTTCAGCATTAAATTATATCGTTGTGCTTGCAGTCGTTAAGGAACACCTCGTAGTCCGTAACAGTTATATCAGTACATAACAATAAAGTAATTTAGGTATTTTATTTTTGGTTCCTTAACACTCTGGTATGCTCAGCCAGTCGATACGCGACAGTTTGAACTCACTCGATATAGTTATAGTATTGTTGCATTTTATTATTCCACCTATTTTTTTTGGTTAGTGTTAGCATACGGTCCACGAAATCATTAGCTGTGTCTGTGGGCGAGAAAAAGACGGATACAAGCTTTATCACACTCTGTGAAAAAGTGATTCTACTACCAACGACGTCGAACAGGAAGGGTCATATATCCATTTTTAAGCACGGTATTTTATTCCTTACAAGCAAACTACTCAAAGCCGTAATCTTCTGTCTCTCCAGAATACTTCTATGAAGTCATTGCAGCTTCATTCAGCGGAAATTACCTGTTCCATCGAGAGTCATGTTTTCGCTATTAGGGCGATGCGTACCTTTTGATTTCTAGATATCAGTGGGGAGCGTCTGTAGTCCCATTTTTAGGGAGTGAGCGTGCATTTAAGCAACTTAGATTCATATTTATGGGAGATATAACCTGGTACGTTGTTGCTGTTGATTGCTAATCATTCCAAGAATTTTGTTTACGGTCATAAAGAATATTGTAAAACAATCAGACCGGAAATAAAAGCAAACAGGTCGCTAATAGATTCAATTCACTTTCATTAGTATAACATATCATGAAAACTTGTCTATTACTCAAATCAAGGGTGTGTATTTAAATAGGCATATATAAATATCAGGTAAAATTATTAGGTGAAAGAGCATAGCACAATAAGGGGAATTATGTTAGCCGTTGGCTATAAAATATACATAATAACGGTATGAACCAGATGCTGTTGCTGTAGTAGTTGCTGACCTAGTATTAGTTATTTGATTTCAATGCTTAGCGTACGGAAATTTGAGACACAGATAAGACCGTTGTTTTTCTTATGACGGTGAAGATAACCTTTTTATCATATATGTAGATGATACAAAACGTGAGCTTCATTTGCAAATGCCTGATTTTTTCAACATTCAAAGTTAAACAAACTTTTTTTAGATACTACGAGATGCTAGAAAACCATTACATATACACTTTTTTTTGTTAGCTGAGATGTCGGTCGTTCTAGTAAACCAAAAAATATTCAGTTAACAATAATAAGGTTAATACCCAAATTTAAGTACGGCTAGTGTCACAACAGGTGATTTTCTCGCCTATTTAGCTTGAATCTGTTCATATATGTGTAACATCATCACACCGTATGCGGTGAAATTACATAGAGGAAGCCTCTAAAGTACTGTCAAAGCGGCTTTTAAGAGCACCCTAGAAAAATCTGTTTTAATTGTTGCCATTCTGTGTATTTATATATGGAGCTCTTGAATACCAAATAAAGTATCGTCTTGTTACAGATCAGCATTTTCTGTTAAATTTTAGTGGTATATAAGACAAGGAATCATTCATGTAAAATTATATAAAGCCCCGTTTAATTGTTTCGTGTTTTGATGAAAAAATTGACCTCAATGCAACTTTTATGGAAATATCAGCCACATTAAATTTCTTTACTAGATCATACAATAGCGTAGTCCACCGATCTCGGAAAACAAAAATATGAACATTTGAAGTTCATTACTGTAACTAATGAATGTGGAACGCCGTATGGAGCGGCGATCGTAAAGCTCTTGACATTTACGTAAGAAACCTGTATTAACTTGAAAGGAGATAAGAGACAATGGGTCGTCTGATTTCATGTTTTGTTTTTGGGGCGCCTATTGAAAAGCGGAGGCGATGTGGATACTTTGTTAACATGGTGTTTTCTCAGAATCTCAATCATTACGACAAGATTAAAGTCTTAGCTACAGTCTACGTGTATTTTACTTGTTCCTTAAAGATATTTTGCTTTAAAACAACAAACATATAAAACTGTCAATTTTCTTAGCAGTTCAAAACTGCTCCATTAGTTGAGCGATACATATATATATGTATATATATATGTCATTTGCATATTCCGTCTGTTCTCCCTCGGTTAAAGATCGTTACGGCATGCATCCTGCATTTGCAACCACTAGTGCGTCAGAAGCATGTTTAAACAGTTGGTTAACATAACTTTTTTTTATAAAATAGTATGAAATATACTGTAGGTATGCTTATATATATTACTTATATATGGTTTTCGTTTCTTTCGCCAGCCTAAAATTTCAATTTTTATAGATTTTTATCCATATAATGTTTATAAAATTATTAATCATTATTCGCGAGTAGACTACGATAATTAAATGTAGCTTACTGTTCCGTTGGTATATATAGCATCTAATGCCATTCCGAGACAAAAACCAATTACATTCTTTAAAAAGTAAAAAAAGTGTTATTTAGAAAGGGAGAGAGAATGGATGCCGATGTGTAATATGTTAGAGAAAACTACGGATAGTCGACTGAGACAGCTTTTAACGATGTTTAGAATGTTTGAAACGTGAAAATGTCGTGTTTACCTCGACTGTTTACTTTCTCGCCAACGTCGTCTATAAAAAGGAACTCAGACATGCCTGTAGTTGAGAGTTATTTCTTGTTGTCACTATAATGCAGTCCTTGTACAGTAATAGAGGTTCATATCTCACAAGAAACCCAATTATTTTGTATCATCTATGCAGGTATGTAATTAGTCCTCAGGCTTTAGCTGACAATTCAAAATCTGGTAAATGTCAACGTTCAGTTAGGACAATGTTCTGACAAACGGCTGAGTGAAAGTAATGAATGGTTGGTTAAACGAAAGTGTGATGTGAGCAAGATGGTAAGCGCGAAAAGCGTTGCCATTTCGACTACGGAATGGCTACCAGGCATCGAACTTCGCAAAACATTTTCTGAACTTGTAAGTTTTATGGGAAGAGTGAGTAATGTAGCCCTCGCCGGTGCCGCATACGAAACTGAGGTTGCTGAGCAGATTCCTGTGAAAGAAAAAAATGCGTATTGATTTGAAGTGGAGAACAGAAATGCTCAAGAACTAATTGCACAGTTCTGTGCAAGGCAGAAACGAATCGATTGATCATTACGTTTTTAGCAGGGAAGCGATAGCTGTGTCACTCGGCTTGGATACTGACGATGTCAAGAACGAAACTCATCATAAAGTGGCAATAAAGCACATTTTTACGACAGGTGATGTTTAAGCTAAGGTCAATTGTGCCTATAACTGCAAAAGGATCGGCACGAGTAATGCGCCTGTTCGGCAGAGCTTAGTAACCAACCGGCTGTGTGGACGAGCTCATACATAACTATGTAAAGTCACTAATGCCTCCTGATGACGCTCTCAGTGGCTAGGTGATATTAAAAGGGTAAAAATCTAGTAGATCACAGAAAGTTGGGACTGTAAACAGACGAGGTTAAGCTAGACTGTTCGAATTGCTGAAATAATATCAGAGCGAGCCGAGTGGTGTTGAAGTTGTGTAGACTCTCCTTATCATAGAGAAAGGCGTTACGCATCATATCAGTAAGATGACAGTGACGATTTGGTTCGATTTTCCCAACAGCCATTCGCATACCTGGTACTGTTAAAAAGAATAATGGTGCTTTATTCCTAATATGCAAGTAATGGTATACACTAAGCGAATCCGTGCCTTGCATTGATCCAACAATCTGATTCACGAAAGCCAGCCTTGCTTAAACTACAGTATATACCAACATTTACCCTGTCACCTATTCCGCTACTCTTTGGCTACTACTTAGTCAATGGTATTGTGGTCTTGAAACTGAGGTTGTAGTACAGGAATATGTGTAGCATTTCGATTCAGCTTAGTGAGAGCTTCCAGTTCGTACAAATAAATATTCTTTGACACAGCTTTTGACAAAAACTTACTAAGACGTACCTCACACCAGCTTTTACGACTCTTCCTTATACGCAATTCCGAACAAAAAAATACGATGTCAGAAGTGGACCCCGTACTCGTAGCAAAAAGAAGTAATTTTGCTCCATACCTACTCAAAGATTACAATTGCAATATCCTCCAGTGATTCGTTCGTCGCAATTCATGCAGCACCAGCTTAGTTATGCTGTTGCTGGTATCCCGTTACAGCGATTCTAACTTTCTGATTCTGTTAATCTATTAGCGACATCTACTCCATTGCAATTATCTGCTGTGTAAAGAATTTTTTTAGCATCACCCTACATATTGAGAACACTCTAACCTAAACGGCCCACCCTCGATGATTTTTAATCACACATATTCGAACTTGAGCTTGCAGAGAGATGTTTCAATCCTACTAGTACTACGGTATCTCATTAACTATTCCAATATTTGATTCGTATTACAGCTAATTCCTATGCTAAGCAATTGCATTACTCCTAAAACCCTGTATATTATTTCCTCTTATTATTATTATTATTATATTGCCTCTGAACGAATGATTATACTTCTTTGATCTGGTTAAGTTCTTTCTTGTTATTAGAGACTCCGTCAGTCTGATGCAGTTATTCTATTATTCTCTTCCAACAGTGATTAATTACCTTGCGATAATGATTTCGCTCCACAACTAGGATGTTGTGGTAACCTCTTTACTTTATTGAAATTAATCCGATTATGCATGACGTACATCATGATGTTTAAATAATTAAGCTTTATTTCAAAACTGCCAATATAGGGCCACATAGCCTGTACGTATAAAATGAACGTGCAACCGCGTACACGACGTTAGTGACACACAATGTTGTGTTTTTCTGCAGTTATTCCCGCTCTCCATTCGAATCAGCGGTATAACCTCAATACCCTGTTAGACTTATCCTGACTTCTCATTTCAGTGTCAATTCGTTCACCCGGAAAAAGTATTCATTCAAATATAAAGATATTAATCATATTCTACAAAGTGATTTAGGTTTTATCAACTATATTTACGAATTAACTAAACTAACATCACGCTTCCCCTATAAGTGGAAAAAAATTGTTTTCCCTGCCGAAAGAATCTTTGCAGACTAGGAAAAAAACTGATTGAGATATAAACGATTTTGGTAAAAATTGTCACTTAGCGGTTAAATCGCAAAAATGTAAAAAAAAAGTTACTAAGTAGATGTCGCGCCTATCTTGTGCAACTATGTTAAGAAAAAATAAAAGAAAACTTTAAAGGACAAGCTGAGAAATTTTCAACCGTAGCCGAGCTAATCGCCAAAAATAGTCTGTTTATTTAAATTACCATTACACTTTATGAGATAAAAAAGCAAACTGCCCCCCAAAAAAAGTATTCATCCAGTCCGCTCCGTCTTCCATCTAGGTCTTCCCGGAAAACTCTAACAATCCACAAAAAATCAGCCCAGTCGGACATTTTTAAATCGTTGGGTAAGACAAAGCCGCTGTCTAATACCTTTAGTATGATATATATAAACCAGATGCACGTTTCGTTTTCGTTTACCACGGATACAACCGCTCGTTGACCAGAAGTAAAAGACAGATTTTATTTGATATTTGGGCTCGCATCTGGAAACTATGAGCCCAGCAGTTGCTTTTAGTACTTTTAACGCTGTAACCGAAAGTATCAACAATAAGGCTGAGTAATTTCATGCTTATGCTCTGTAGAGAGGTAATAAGGTTTATGGAGGCTATAAGTGGCAAGATCGCGTTCCCGTCTTTAGGTGATCTAATTGCGGCAAGCAACCTCTGCAAAAGGCACCTAGGACTTATCAGGCAAACACTATGCTTTGTGAAAAGTTTTTTTTTTAATTTAAAATGGCTGGCTTTGGATGACTTCTCCAAGCCTTAAGCACTCACGGGAGTATTCGCTGAAGACACTAGGGAATCTGAATATCGATATAAGAACATTAACAATCTAATGTCTGAAGGTATTGGTCACTGTGTGCTGGACGAACGTCTTTATTTTCAGTCCCATTAAATTCAGATAACCCAGAAACTCGGGCTTATAGATATAAGTGGAACTTAATGTGGTGTCACATGGAAAAACAACTGTATTGCGATCCCATTTTATATTAAATTTCATCGTATCATGTGATGCCCCTTGGGCTGTGGATGGGCTAGTGAACAAACAGAGCTCCTAATATAGGCATACGAGACCCTTGCGCTATTTACGACAATCAATTTGTGTTGGACCGGAAAATAAGTAATAACAACATTTCATTTAACAAGAAAAGCGTTCCAAAATGTTATGATTATGATTCCCGTTTTTCAAGGAATTAAATTATATCCATTTGCCGTCGCTCTTCACGTCCTTCTTCCGACTTTAAACTGATATATTTTTCCATCGGCCTAGAAACTTTGTCTGTGTTGAAGAGCTTGTCCAGCCGGTTGTTGACGACTTGTTTATTGGCGTATGTACTTTTAGAATTTACATTAATTTGTACAAAGTAGTAAGCCATTAATGTGAGGTCTGGAAAATAGTGTGGGTGCGAAAAATGTCGTTTTAAGCTACGACCTTTGTCTGGCACCGTCGTGGAGAACAATGGCTTAGTTTTGTTGGGTCTTTTATGTTAGATAGTCCCGTTCAAACTACGCATTTGGATTATACATATAAATTCTCATTAACGGTCTTGTTTGTGTCGAAATCGTCCCGATGTATGAGGTCCTTACAGCTTTTTTAGAATATCGTTCCCATCGCCTCGAGCGGCCGATTGAAGCGGGGCTCATTTTTTAACTCAAGATGCTAATATTAAATCTTCGAAGTTACCTTTGAGCAGTCATCTCAGACATGATGTTTACGTATAACTCAATCTAAAATTTTATTCACTGCACATTGAAAGCATAATGAGTTTACGGCATTTTTAAAAAGAAAAGTAAGCAGGTGGTATACAAAGAAAGGAAGCGTATGAAAAAACAGCTGTTATAATGCTTATGCTTCAACTTAACGTACACTAAAGGAATCGTACGAGGCGAATTGTAGATAGCTAATGTCTTCGTTTTGACCCAAACTTGACCTTTGTGTCAAGTTGAAGCCATATACTACAGTTCAAAATTTTTATGTAGAACCTAGGTGCTACAATTGGCATTTATAAATATTATCTATTAATATAATTATTACTAGTACTGTATGATTCTGAAACAGTAATTAAAACGCAGATGAGGATAACAGTGGATCAGAAATAATATTACTATTAAGATTAATTACCTTTTACTACCTTAGAATCACACGAATAACTAGATCTTTTTAAATCAAAATAAACGTGGTACAACGCCCTATCAAAGTGCTAAACGCTCTGAACTGAATTAGAAAGTTGATTAATTAATAATAATAATGATTCGGTGTGGGCTTCATATGTAGACTTGGATAATTAAAGCTATTGACAAGGGTACTACAAGAAAACATATCGGAAAGTGCTCTGTGAAAAGTTGGGACTGATGGACGGCCCTCTGTCCGCCGAACCTTTAGAAGTGATGCCCCACCAGTCTTTCTTGTAGTTGATATATAGCCAAGATAGATACGCCGTTATTCGAGTTAGTTTACGTTGTTCGTGCTTTAGGCAAAATTTGTATTTTAAACTTATTAACGTTTTTCTCTCTTGGGTTGTCCAAACTTACCGTAAGACCTGCAAGTAGGTCGATAAAAAGCTTCCTAACGGGGCCCAGATCAGTGGTTTGTCCATTATTAGGGTTTCGGATTTCTGTGTACACACCGGAGATGTTACACGATTCTGCTGAATGCTTCGCATATTTCTCACTATCAAATAGGATCTTCGTTTTAGGCTATGTAATTCTGACCGTCATCAGTTCGGATCACCTGGTTGATGCTTGCATGGCGACTTGATTATAGCACCCGGGTCCTGTGGATTGCACCTCTCTTGAACGTTGGTATACAGGTAATACAAATTGTCGATTAAAATCTTTGCATTGGGCTCACAGACGCACTATTTCCCTTGTCACTTTAACATACCTGGGGCGTGGACCTTAATTGGCTACTAGTGGCGGCGATGACTTGACCGAACAGACGAATAAACTTGCTTTTGAGCTATGATTTTAAGCTATTGGTAGGTAAGACATGCAGAAAGGAGAACTAGCGAATTTTAAAAATAAAGGTTGCGCAATCAAGACTATGCAACATTTGCAGTTCATAACGTCATCTTTCTTGGTCTTGATTTTCCCTCTAGAATCTAAAGTCGAAAATGTCGCTTGGTGACGTCTAAGTCCTAGGCACTCATATACAGCGTGTGTACGGTTTTTTAATTCTCGAAAAAGCTAAAATCACATATAAGACTGGCAAGTAAGACAAACCTTTAAATTTAGCGTAATATAAGAAAATATAACTGAAACAACTATACAAAATGTTTTCGTTGGCCAGTAGTGAAGCCCAACCCACCGATGTCTATATTGCACTTCGTCATAATAATTGGCTTTTTCGGAATCGATTATAGTTCATTTATTCGTGTACATTTTAATTTGAGAAGCAAAAGGCGCAACTGAAAATACAACATATAGTGCGTTCCGACAAATTGGAAAAAAAAAACTTTTTACGCACTTTCACCGTCAAAAATGAAATTAAGTTTTCCCCTAAGTTCGCATCCAACTTTAAACCGGTTTACATTTTGGCACCATAACTAAAGTTGGGTAGAGAATGAGAAGCAGTTATTTATTGTGTATGTAGGGCTGTCTTCCGATTTCTGGAATCTTTGTGGATATAATTGTACATTTCAGTCAACTTCAGTCACAAGTTCAAAAAAGGAATTCCTAAAAAAATATTTAAGGTCGGTTTTAAAGATTTATGCTTAGAGAAGGCTTAGAGAATATATTTGTGGAATACATGAACCCAATATAGATAGAGGACCAAAAGATCGTTCGTTTAGTTTCCAAGTGGTGATTTCAGCATGAACCAAGCTGCACAAAAAAGAAGCATCCAAACTACGTCTTCAAAGATATCTAACAAACAATTTTTATATCAATCAAGGAGACATCTAGATTCCTTATAATCTGACTAATCATCAACTGAACTCTTCATGAATGTTTCGAACAACGAGACTGTTACCACAGTTAAGTAGTAAGAACAGCTCGATCGTTTAAGACAATACATTCGATTAGGGCTAAAAGACGAAAAGCCATGTTTCATTGTGACGACGTCCAGGTTCATACTTTTCTAGTGACTTGCCAAACATTGTCGAAAATTGATTAAGATGTTTTACCTCAACTAGTTTATAGTTCCGGCCATGCTCCTTTCGATTATTACTTTTTTCTTAGAGAAACTTCCTTAATAGAAGAAATTTTATATCTTTTAAAAGTGCAAAAACCGAATGAACTATTTTATAAAAAATACCTTTGAAAGAATAACACTGAAAAACTTCCTGTAAGATGGGCTAGGGTCATCATTTATAATATTAAATATATCATTCATTAAAATTGGTCGGGTCAATAACTCTCTTCATTCAAAATAAGGTGAAATTCTGAAACGAACTTGTAGGATAACCTAACAGAAGCCAAATCAAAGTTCAGCCTGTTTGCAATTAAAGATTTTGATACAAAATGTAATGATTAGATCCTAATTGTTTCAAAAATCTTAAATGCAAGAGTTTTGGAACAAAGCTGTAATAAGTATGATAATACGTTTATTTCCTAGAATTAGGTACTGTAATTACTAAAGCCCGATTATTCAATTTACGCCCTCTCCTGCCTTCAGGCCATGTCGCTGCAGGTGAAATTCACAGAGCATAACCTGCCACGGGTAGTCGTATTCATATGTTTTTTAAACTTTAAAAAATTTTAAACAAAACCTGTTACATGTTCGTTCAAACAGAATGTAAAAATAAAAAGACGATTTGTAAAAATAACAAAATAATTTATTTTAAAACTAATCGTGTGCATCACTACGCGAATGATTGTTTTTGCACTGACGAAAACTTCAACATTAGTATTTATTTGCTCAGCTAGATATCACGGTTTGCGTACAATATTGGATAACATTAAGTAATTACTACAAGGTTTTCTCCGTTATTTGTATAAATAGATTCTCTTTGGTTGAATTGATGCGGGCTTATATAGAAATATAAGTGCTTTAAATCGACCAAAGGTGCTTCCGCGTTTGGTTAAAATTTTGATGACATATCTGAAAGAGCGATCCATTAATTTAAAGAAGATGTGCATATGCTTAGCTTTTTTTCAAAGTTAAAAGCGTGCCTCCAAATTTAGGGTATCTAAAATATATCGCAGTAGTTTTTGGCTCATATTTTTTCATAGAATCGCTGCATTGTTTGATTTATGCAGATACAAATGTTGAGCTTACATAGTATGCCAAATCTAGGTAAATTTAATCTTACATTTAATCAGCCAAAAAAGGCAACTGTATTTGGCTTTTCTGTCCTGTCGATGACGGCTTATGTGCGCTAAGTTTTTGTAAGTTTGTCCTTCATTTTAGATTTCCTAAGTTTACCAAAGGTGCAGATTAAGTTAACCATAGTTAAAGGCAATAGCCAAAAACCAATATACTGCAACGAAAAGTAAATGGAGTTACACTACTCAAATGACGAACTAAATTTCGAAGTTGTTAATTTGTCAAACTTGTGAAATTTCCACGGCATACATAATTAATGAAAATCTCAGCGCATTTAATTGTCAAGGATGCCCCGGTGGATTCTCAGTGACTAACCTTTGAAGTAGTATGAGTCTAAATTCAGCAGCCTGTTATATTCTTCCGTATATATATTTTCATTAACTTAAAGGATCGCCCCTTCTGAAAGACTAATAGAAAAGTAAATAAAACAAAAAAAAAATCAGAGAAATCTCACATAACGGAATAGAGACTATAAAGAGATGACGTTTTCACAATGTTCAGTTTATGTTGGAGTACAGAATGCAGCAAATTCGAGGAATAGTCATTTTTTTTTTATCAAACTTTGCAGCGCTACTCGGTAAACCTTTCGGTGCATACGGATTTTACTCGTTTTGTGTCAATTAAATAATTCAGAATCGGATAGTTTGAAATTTAACAACATTAAAAAACAAGTACGGGAAGACATGGTGTATATACTTGAGCGCTCTGGATCGGTTATAGCCGATGGACTTAATATCACTGAAAAATGGCATTTTTCAAGTCAAAGATTAAAGGCCATGCTGTTATGTAAATTTAACTGAAATTTGTTCGGGTATATTTGCAACGTTGAAATCGAAAGGCAGGTGCACTAACTGCTATATTTTTTTAGTTACATTTAATGTATACAGAATATATTTCTCTAAATAAAACTATATTGAATTAAAACTGTTTAATAGTACCAACATGATGAAACATGGGCAATTTGGTTTAAATGAGTAATGCACATCTCTTCGAATGCTTTGCTATGGTAACCATGAACATGCGGTCCTGGCCGGTTGCTATATCAAATTGTTACCATGCCGTTTTAGAAGTCTGTTGGAGAATCTCTAGTCAAATCGATCAGTATCTATCCCGACTAAAGGCTATAGCCGGATCGGGCCTTAGTGAATTTTGAAGCGCACAGTTTGAATCAGAAATTCACAGAGGAACCTTTTTTTTTATACCTGTTCAGTCTCAACATGCATTTGCAGAGATATAATAATATACATATGAAATATGCGCAAATGTCACCTTCCAGGCGGACGAACTTTGGCTAGCCCCCACATGAAGTTAAATTTGATCACGATTTTCTACGTATAAAGGTGAGCGATCAACGAAAATAGAGCTCCAAATATGATTAGCTGCAGCTAGCCACTGTTTTACCGACATAATTTTATTACGATCTATGGTACATCTGTTTGTCTGCATTTATAGTTGTTTGCTCACCAATCATTTAACATTAGCTTACTAGTACCAATTCACTCTACATGCATATTAAGGATATGTTTGAATGGAAAACAATATCGAAAAGGTGTTCACATACTTGCCTGAAAACCTATTATTCTTTAACAAAGACATAAACAAGTACATTTAACTTGATAAATGAAACATTTGTTTTTCTGTGATACTTTTATAGTATCATATAAAAGGTGCGTTGTGCAATTATAAGGTTTCTCTACTCTACATGAAAACAATTCAAACTATCATAAAGTCTTACACAAAGTAGATTTCCAGACTTAATCAAGCAAACACAATAATTTCTCGTCAAGTTCAGAAATATCAACGATCTAAATGTCTTCGTTGTAACACAGCCATTGTCTCGTCCATTGATGGTCCCCTTATCAACTTCGGCTTTCCTCTGCTGCTAATCGCTTGCTAATAAACTTGACCACTCATGTGGCATGAGTTAAACCTTATTTTTGATATAACTGTTTCACACGGTACGGTTAATAAGTAACTTAAGTTTGTGATCTATAGATCATTTGTAGTGCTTGTCTTTAGGTTTCAAGATTAATTCCCTTTTCATTATTTATCCGTCAGTCTTAATAGGTACAATCCTGGTCTCGATTGACGTGATCCTCAGAATGCTTTACGGTCGACCGGATCTCCAAGAGGGCGCATTCCTAACAAGTTAAGAAGAATTGATTAATTTGGCTATAATGTTACCAACAACTAGGATAACTAGTAATATAGGTAATATATTATGTAAGCAATTTGATAATGTCATTGTTTATGAATTTTACATAGAAGCTTGTTTAGTCCTTAACGTTCGTTAGGAGGCGTCCACATAGCATATTACGTAGGCATCTTATTAGATAAAGAAAACATTACTAATCAAAACCAAAGTTAATTATTAATAGATATTTTTGTAACTTTCTTAATCTAACTGATGTTGCATTGGTCTATTTGGTTGAATATGTGTGTAAAAAAGCACCTGTACGTGTATAAGTTTCAATGAGAAATATACTACTTGAGCGTTTCGGTGTCTTTGTTGGTTCCAATTTCGCGATAACCAACGACGTAGCCTTAGGAATTCCCATTAAAACGTTAGATTACCAACTTTAAACCAGATAGGTTTTTCGAAATGTTTTAATAACTTATTTGTTAATGTGATAACTTGGGTTGCTTAATGATACGTGTACGGAGGTGTAGAATGGGTGCTAAAACGTAGCACTGTGAACGAAAGGTCACACAAGGTCAAGTGCGTAAAGCGTAACGAAATTACATGGACGTAATTTACTGGCGAAATAAGCCGCAGAAAAAGTCCGCAAAGCATAAGAAAAACAGTTGAAACTATACTTCGGAGAACATACAAAACAACTCGAATTTTTCTGAAAATAGTAATGCGTAGAGAGTGAAATTTTATCGATAAATGGCTCCGCTGGTAAACCACTAACTATACCAACTAGGGTAGCGGCGGTAGGATGCAATAGCTTTAGAACAAGACACATTTGCTCACATCAATCACTGTGCTGAAGAAAACGCGAAAAACGAATGGTAGCAATCTTTTTTAGCAACGAACAGGTTATACCTGGAAGCAAAGAAGATACGGCTCTGACAAATCAGATTCTGCATTACAGACAAGAACAAAGTGTCTGCTGTGAAATTAGCGCGGTAAACCTGAGAATGAGGTGTACTGATAAAGGCGCCTGCATCACTAAATCAAACTATTACTTGTACGACTTGATTACACAAGGTCTTAGCTACATCATGGATCAACTGTGTAGGATTACAACGACCTGGCACGCGAGATGGTCAGAAAACAACTTTAAGATATAGTAGAACTGATCTCACCTCGAAAATACTTGTAGAACTTCCCACCGTGAAATCTATAGCATAATGCACAATAAATCTTCTTAGGTCCAGAAATTTATGACCTAATATCAGAGTTACCTCTGTTGCAACAAAAAGCGGTTTCATAGGTATTGCAGTAAATCAATAATAAGTCTGATTAAAATGATTTTCTAAAGTCTAGCAATTCTTCTTTATACAGTACAATTCACATATATTTCGCATTTTTTATAAGAAGTTCGTTTATTGGTGATTTGCGTTGTCAAATCGTAGATAAGCGCTATATATTATCATTATTTGAGCTAACTCGTTAGTTGAGGATGCCGTTTTAGGATGTTATCATTTTTTTTCTTGTTTCGAAGACTCCTACAGATTTACAAAATCACTTGATATAAGAGTTTCATTTTGGTTTTGAAGAATACGAGTTTCTCGAGTTCGGGCCTAAGGCAATAATCTTGTAACCTTGATTATAGTTGGTGTATGCGTATGGCCATATCAGTTTGTGATGCACTCTGTGAAATATTTGGTTAAATAAATTTCACTTGTTCAATTTTTCGAGCGATTATACAATAATTTTACTACAAAATTTTTCAATAATCTTCATAGAACAGGTTTCCTATATTTAAATATACAGTTCTAAAAAAGATTAAAACTTAACCATTCAGATGCAGTCCTCCGTTCGATATGGAATAAAGGCTAAATGCAGAAAAAAACCTTATGAAACATAACCAAGAGTAGATCTGGTGAAACCTACAATTATATTAACACAAAAAAATAGAGATTTTTTGAGACAAATTGACATTGCTTGTTTGTATGTTTTGCGAATAAAGGCATTCCTCCATTTCCATACCAGACATTTCGGAATTTTCGTTAATGCAGAACTTGCTCACATGTCATTTTCAAGATTTCTTTCAAGTGTAACATTTTTAATCGTAGTCTAACACCGTTACCTTCTACACCGTTCTAGCAACTTAGATTCAAATTTCCCGACCAATTAGTAAAATTTCATGCTTCATTATTTCAACCGGACCCTTTAACAACATATATTTTTACTATTGTTATAATTAAATATTATTTGAAAAAAACTGATACCCGAAGACAAACAATACTGTGTGTCAGTTAGCCGATCGGATCAGTCCTCTGCCGCTTAGACATCTCTATTCATCGATTTAAAAAAATTATGTAAATCTCCTTGAGAAATACAGAGCAGTACTGAAGCTTATTCACATATATTTTGCCTTCTTATTAAAACCTTGTAAACCCGGACGATAGGGCTAGCAAGCTATTTACAAAAAAAATTATACACGCTCCGCTTAATTACATCTTTAGTATAGCATCAAAGACAGGAGTCTTTGATGCTATACGATGCTGAGTCTTGCTGGACTTATCTGGGCTTTCTCCATCAGACCTATGAAGCTCTATAGCAGCCACCAAATAGCTATTAGCGTAATGTGTGCTTTTCCTTTGTATTGATAATTCCTGGTATTTATTCTTTCGTATGTTTTTCAACTAATAATTTTCGACGCTAGGATTTAACCAGCTTGACTGGATGTTTTGTGTTCATTGATAGTCACCATAGCAACGCACTCTAAAGGATGCGCATTAGCCATCCACTTTAGGCCGGCCCCTCAAACAGCTACTTTAAATTTCAAGGTATGTAGAGGACCACATAATAGAGTTTAGTATCCTACTTTATTGGTAACAAAACTTTTGCGTTCTCACACTTAGCATACCTGCTTTCGTAGTTCTTCTTGTCCAGATGGTTCTTGGTGGCTACTACTAGCTTCTGGTCGTGGATCGCAATTAATAGTCATCGGTAAATCATCTTCGTCATCTTCTACAAGCGAAGTTCGCTCCTCTTCCGCAACAGAATCCTCTAGGTCGTGTGGGATACGACGCCTGGTGTTTTCAGGAGAACTTTCGTCCTCGGTGAATGATTCCTCTTCGGGAATTTCTTCAAGTGGCGACATGAATTCCTCCGGAGGAGGCGGTATTATCTAAGAAAATAATTAGTGTGAAGTTTAGACTGAGAGGTATCGGTGACAGTGTGGATAAGTAAAAATTATCTATTGTGGGCAGTGGACGGACTAAGGTACATAAACAATTATAGTTTGAGACGGCTGTCATATATAAATATACCGTCGGTAAATTTCATTTTGACAAGCCTAAAACAATGTAGCAGCTCTTCTGAGGATCAATTATTCAGTTATTCGTTATATCAACCTTATTCAAGTTTCGAATCTCAAATAACATGCTTTAAATGACCCTAAAAAATAGATTAGATAACTGATTATACATGCGAGGAGTGTGGGCAAGAAGTGACTGCTTTTTTCGAACTTGTATGGCTTAATGTACTTCCAGTGTTTCGGTGATCATAAATGTTACATCCGTATTCGTTTAGAAATTGCAGAGCAATTACATTTTGTATTAGTTCTCTAAAAACATAAGCTAAGAAACATTTAAAAAAATTTGTTTATGGGATTGACCGTTGTAAAGCGCAGAAAGGATATTTCTTGCATCAACAAGTCGCCTACTTTCTTAAGAGGAACAGAGAATGTTGGTAGTGATGAACTTCCCACTAGTGTTCTCATTTGGAACTACAAAGACAACTCTCCTTATGAACCTTGTATTCGGTTAAAGAAGATGACGAAGAAAGATTCGGTGACTCATTGAGTTGTAACTTGTGATAAAAAGAAAGTGACTTTCTACGATTATCGCTGATGGGCAGATCAATCAGGGATATTCAATGACATCGTCCTGAGGCAAATATGCAGCAGTAAAGCTTATGGTCTCTCTCTGGTAGTTTTGTGCAGGGGTTATTCGCTATAGCTTCGTAAGTCCTAATTTGTCGATTGTGGCTGAAGTGTACTGTCAACTATAGGTAGCCATCTTTTTCCAAATCTCAACAACGTCTTAATTGGAAAATTATTTTAATCTCAACGTATTGCCAAAATTACATTTCGAAACATTATATATGTTCGTGCACAAGACTCCGCAGCAGCGAGTTAAACTTTGTTTACTTCGCTGTCTGACCTGCAAATGGCAGAAGGTCATGGCTAATACTGCGTACTTCGACTTTAAATAATTATGCTTTTGAAAAAAATCCAGGTATTCAGGATACATCAGTGTATACCGATGATACTCCTTTATCAAGCAGCATGTTTACAAAAATTAAATAATTTTTGAAAAATTAATAAATGGAATCGCCTACATTATTGGCTCATGCAACATCACAATATGGCTTACATGTTGGGCATATATAGGCTGTTGTTAAATACATAGGGAGAAATTAGAGAAAAAATGCTGGTTTACTGAAAATTGGCTGTGATCACAGCTAGAGAAGACGTTGCTCTATTTTTTAATTTTTTTTGTTATTTACAGCTCATCTACCACATCTATGCAGTGTAAAGTCAATATTAGAATGGTTCAAAAACTGGCGAATACAGTATTCGTGTTTCTTCGAGAAGCAAAGTAAAAGTACAATAATATCCACATCAACCTTTGAAGCCAACTATATTCTACTATAGCTTGTGAAGTTATTCATGATTCTGATGCAAGGGATTATCCACAATTAATCCATGATCGTTATTATCCGACATGTGTGGGCGTGTTTCGTTACGGTTGTTGAAAATTCTTTTAAAAGCAACCATACATTGACAGCAATATGTGGTACAACGAGCAGGATGGCTTAGATTACTTTGACATATCAGTGTATGTACATTTCCATAAGGCTTTATGCCCCAAAACTAGTATATTATTTCATTATTTTTTGACATATTAACATTGTATGAATTGCACTACGGAAAAATGTATTTTATGAGAAATCTGAGCCGTACATATTTCAAAAAGACTAAGTCTCCCGAATTTTACGTTTAAAAAAAGCGCGCTTTTGTTAGACAAAACGAAATAGCCTATATCAATTCGATGTCATATAGTTTCACAATCCTTTACATCGATGGCTTTGTGTGCCTCGCCGTTAACCTCGAAGACAGCTGTTCTCGAAGAACTTGGGGAAAAACAAAATATCGTTGCTGTTTGACAGCTACAAGAGCACTATTTAAAGTTCTCAGTTGTATCAAATGAAATTTAGGTCATCTTAGGCAACCTAAGAATAGTTTGATAGAATTAACCACATCAAGCCTTATACTTTAAAAGCATGCACCGTGCAGCATCGCACACAAACAGGAAATTTATTACCAAAGCTAGGTGGTTTAATTATTACGGAAACACCGAATAACTGGTCAAAGAGGATTTACGGGGAAACTAATGCTTTCTTAAACTACAAGGGTAGATTCGGCCCACTTTCTTTTTTATTGAAAAGAAGCATCGTTCAGTACCACAGATACAGGCAAACGTTTGAATGCAACTTTTTTTTTTTCGTATTGAACTACGGGTGCGGAAATGTGGTAGAGGACGTCGATCGTGATTACGCATGAGGTCTATGCGTATATTAAGAATGCTCATTTTAAAGTTGTATCGAGGTGGAAGTGGAGTAAACAAGGCAAAGTTTCTTTCCTATCGTTTACAACCATCCTCAAGTAAATCAACAAATTTAAATGAGGATCATATTTAGAACGGTAAAAGGCGGTTATTATTAAATAAATTGCTATATATCCATAACATAATTGTGGTAAATAATACGAGGGAAGACTAGACCAAAGAGATCAGTCACTGTTGTCTGGGATGCTTGTAATCTGACCCAAATAAATTAATTCAGTTGTTAGGGTAACAGACAATTAATACAGTAACTATTCCGCCTTCAAATCGCGTGATTTACATAGAAGCCCGAGATAATCAAAACGAGTACTCCGTCTTGAATAGACACGCATATACTATCACTTTACAGTACCAAGTAGAAAAGTTTCAAGTTATGAATGCGTCGGATGAGCGCACTTGCTTAAGAAGGCTATATATATCGTATAATAACAGTTTTTTTTTAATTTATATTTTCTATATATTTTTAATAGTATATACGAAACTATTTACCTTATGGGGATTTCTAACGTATGGAACGGTAGCAGCGATAGCACCGGATGCAGCCAGCATAATACCAGATACAATGAATGGACACTGGTATGACCCGGTGAGGTCATACAGGATACCTTAAAATGTGTTTGAATAGTAAAACAAGTAGCTTAGGCATAGTTTTGCCAGTTTTTTTAATCGAATAGATAATAAACAATTTGTGAAAATGCGTTACTTCAAGATTAAAAGATTTTAAGATTAAAAGTACGTACTGTTAATTATATATATATATCGATATATATGGGTACTATGGCAAAAAGCATACATTTGCGCAATCGATTTATATAAAATTTAATATCACTGCACCGAGATGTATCTCTTGTAAGAAAAAGTTGTTTTGTCTTCTTGTTGACAAGAAACCGAGTACAAAAATAAACCATCGCTCCACATTGAGCATTTACCATGATAATTTTTAATCCTTTAAGTCTGTTTATCGTCATTCTGTTTATTTAACCAACCTTTTTCTTATTCCTAATAGCATTCATGTTTAAAACGAAAAATAAATATAACATTATATTAGATTCTTCATACATACCAGCAAATGGAATGCCAAGGATACAGGCACAGCCTCGTACTAAACATAGAAGTCCAAAGGCATTGGTTAAACGCTCGAGGCCGAGCAGATCCACCAGTATGATTGATGTCAGTAGAATATATGCAGCAACTGCAAGGGTTCAGAAGAAAACAAACATATAAATCTTACAATCTTACAAATGTATAACGCATCTTAATCATATTTGACAATACTTTAGGTTACGTTTGTATTGAATAGACGATATGGTATTGATTAAGTAGACCTAATCGTCACAACACTTTATAACCTTTTCAACGTCTCTCATAGAGATAATCTGGTGAGATCTATCAGTCTCTTGAATCTGATTCTTTTCCTATTATGCACCAGTGTTGTCTTGCTTTATATTTATCGTGAACAACTGCGGCTGTTTTCTTTCCCAAAACACAGCCTGCCAAACCAGAACACAGGTTCTATCACAAACCATCGAAGTTAATAGATAACGTAATCATACAAACAAGATCAGCAGGTCGGCAAAGTACCTATGTGGAAATCAATAGTTCTTAGTGTGTTTTACGGGATTTACTCCACTGATCACATCCGCGTTTTATGCAATTCTGGATTACAACACCTACTCTGGGTCTGATTATACTGTCGTTCTGGTTTTCACGTATGAAAATAAAATAATATCTGTATTTTTTTATACCTACCCATGAAACCAAACAAGGCACATACGGTCATTGCCGCAGTATACCCGCCTATCACCAGTGCTAGCGGTGTAATTGCAACTGCAATTCCCGATATAGCCAAGGTCACGTTGTTCACCGTAAGCGAGTTCACGTGAGGAGAATCCGAGATTCGGCCGAATAGCAAGCGACCCAACATATTTGTGATACCTGGAAATATGCACAATCAGAGGATTTTGGAGTTTGGTTACATTCAACAAACAAGGCACAAGGTAGAAAAAAAGTACGTTTACGATAAGGAATGACAATTGTTTGACATAAACAAAATGTAGATGGCAAATTGAAGAACTTGTTGCTTCAATTGCAAATCAATCTTTGTCCTCATTTTTTTAATCTCAGTACACATCTTTTTTGTACAAACCCGTTTTTTATCTGGTAAGCAAATTTTCTTAATAAAAATGTGAAATAGGTATTACCCCTCCTGGTAGCAAATAAAAATATCCAAAAAAGCAAAGATTTGTAGAGTTTACGAAGGTTTTTTTACTTTATTTAAAATTTTACGATATGAAGGTGCATAAAAAGTGTAATTTATGGTCGAAATGCATTATCAGAAGACACGGTCCAAAGATGATTCTGTTGTTTTCGTTCCCCTAAAAAGTGCCCCTCGTAGTGGTTGACCAGAAAAATTGACCAAATCATTACGAAAAGTTTAGGAAAACTAATACGTGAGCAGGCATAATAAGGAACTAAATGTCTACCACCAAATAGTTTTAAGCTATTCAAACGAAGAAAAAGCTCGATGTTTGGGTGCCACACGAACTGACATCAAGTATTTACTCGATCGTTCCATCGTTTACGAAAAAAGCGCGGAATTGAGTCATTTTCAAAAGTGGATCATTATGGACAATAATGTGCAAATAAAAAAATGTATTTCGCAGTCTGTGGCATAGCCCAGACTACCGCAAAAAAAGATGACCTTACGTGTTTAATAAAATAGGAAAGCAACTCTGTGTCATAAGTTACTGCCACTTCCCAAAACATTTTCTATTGTCAACAATTAACAAAAACAGAACAAGCCATGGCAAAAAAAATCGGCCAAAACTAGCCAAAAAGGCGTCGTTTTTCATTATGACAATGAATGAATCAGACCATATACATTCTTGGCTACCCGACAAAAACTAAGAAAACTTGGATGAGAAATTTTATTGCGTTTACGGAACGGTACTATTAGACAATCATCTATTTTAGCCTCTGCAAAACTCTATTAATTGTGTTAATTTAGTTCCAATAGAGGGACGAAAAATCATTTACCACATTTTTTCGCGAGAAATTTCACAGTGATGGCACTATGGTGTTTCTAACAAAAATAGCAGATCAAAACGACGCATATTTAGTTTAGTAAAAAAAAGTAGTTTCAATTTTGGCTTAACCTTTCAACTATGAAATATATATATATAAAATACAAGCCTCAAAGCCATATAAGTTTGAAGAGACTGAGACCAACCATAAGTTAAATTAGAGTCTCATTCAACATAACTAGTATATAGCAACAACAAAATAAACGTCTTAGTAAATAATAAATCCTAATAAATCCTGGCAATTGTTCCTAGAAAGTTTGCTATGGAGAGTATATAGGAAGGTAGGAAGCTCTAAAAGTATTTATTTTGGCAACTGGCAGCGTCCTGGAGAACTTCTAAGAAGATTCTAAAAAGCTGGCAGCGGTGCAGATTTATGCAGTTTGGTTTGTGGCAAATGTATACATTTATTTATGTAGGTAACAACAGACTTGAAGTGTATTTTGCTGCAAAACAATAAAAATTTCGTATTCATTGAAATGGCTTGACGCGCGAGCGACCTTGGTAATCCAAAGATAATCCAAATGCCATTATGCTGCATCTTTGATACCATATTTAAATACCAAAAAAGTTTAGTGTCCCAAATTACACTAGTGTCTCATAGGTGTCATCTTTAAAAGACGATTTGCAAATTTGTCTTGAGTGAGATCATCAGCAAAATAAATGACGTGCAGTTTACTTTCACGAGGCGCAATGTGGAGAGGCAGTATAGTAGTATAAAGGATAAATACAAAAGGGCCTAAACTGAACTTCGTGGAACCTCACGTTCTAATCCATAATCCTTCAAAACCGCACTGTTGATAAACAGTTGAAAAGCGGTTGATTAAGTAATACCTGAATAAACCGCCAGCAACATAAGAAAAATAATAATAGGAAATCGTTTCTAAAAAGACATACTGCGAGATAGTGTGAAAAGCCTTTGCCAGATCAATTGCGGTTACCAAATGCGCAGGTGATGTAGTTATAGATATCACGAAAAACCACATCACGGGAAATGGGGCAAAACATACATTAATAATTTGAGGAGAAAATCATGTTGAAAATATGGGTATCAAACGGATGCTTAGCACATTTTTTGGACAGTTCTGAACTGGAGAACGGTTTACTTAAAAATTGTGGCAAGTAGCAAGTTTGCCGATACCGACAAGTTTTCTGGCAAAGATTTGATATGGATTTTGCCTACTTCCCCAGTTATCTCGAAAGCTGTTGGTGTAGCCAAAATATGTATATATGTACAAGCGGCGTCTTTCAAAGCCGAATCTAGCCGTCTAGCTGTAATCTAGTAATCTAAGCGGTGCCTTCGCATCCGACGCGGTTTAAGCTGTGGAGAAGCATCACTATATAGCCTTAGTAACATATATTGCCGTTGCTGTTTCTTTGTCGTTTATTAAATCACCTATTCCGTTTTGGTGCAAGAGTAATTGAAATTCATACTATGTAAAGAGTTAGTATATACTTAAAGGCGCTTATTAATTTTCTATGGACTACAGAAGGATTCTCTTGCTTTTTAAATAAAAATTAAAGGGCTATTTGTCGCTTGCGTAGACACCGAGCTTTCTCATTTCCTAGAAGGGTAGCCGGCAAGGGATTTCAACCACCATTCAGGTCAGCTTTGATAAGCACAATCATTTGAGACTGCCTCTCCGCTATTGCCATTTCCATTTTTAATTACTCCTAAAGATGACTGTTTTCCAAGTTATTTATGCTTCTGAATGCTTCGATGTGGACACGCTTCGTTCAGACACGCGGCCATTTGCTGACTGGCATGTCCCACATTCCGACGCCAGTATTATTGGTCATTTATGAACCGGTCCTCTGTATATCAGTGAGTTCTCTGAGGAACGGTGCGCACTTCTGAAATATAACACCTAACGATTCACGAGGTGTAGAAAAATCATCACCCTCAAATGAGTTCGACCGCAGACTTGGATTTTGCGCGGTTTGTTGCTATTGTCGATTGTATTATTTAAATGAGCTCAATTACAGGCGCACCTAACGGGAAAAATATGTGGTATGGTATTTGAGAATACATTTGGCAAGTTGTTTAAATCATGCGTCCATTTGGTCAAAGGGAGGCAAAGATCGCGTTGTACAACAGATGGAATGCACTTTGCTGGAAAGGTGTGGTCACTGTTCCTATCAACAACAGCCCTATTTCCATTTAGAAGATGAATTCTTCGCAACCTAGTGCTTGCCTCTCCACTTTGGTGAGCTTGTTGCGTGCATAAAGATCATCCATACGGACGCGCAGCAAAAGCAATTTAAGTCAAACAAACATAGATTTTCGATCTCCATGAGGACCAATTCCACATAAAAAAACAACCTGACTATTGCTAATAGTACCAACAGGCATGGTTATAGTCTTTGTCGTTAGCCCTTTTTGGTAGCTGAAATATACTTCTTGACATCCCTCAGCTGTCGACTAGTGCTAATTACGAATTGTTTTAAACCTTGTGTTTGTGCTGTTGTGTTTGATATTTCGGCGATGATAAGCATTGCCGTTGTGTTCGAAAATACTGAAAGTACCGAATGCACAACCGAATGAAATAATGATCAGTCTTACAGTTCCAGCATGGAGCGGTACAGTTATATCAGCGTGCTCAAAGGTTTTACATCCAAGCAGAATCGATATAAAAAAGAGTTCGCTTCAACGAGATCTGGCTGAAGACATCTTCAACATTGTATTACTACTTTTTTGTATAATGACATGTACCAAGTAGCTTATACTCTAATGATATTCAGTACAGACTAACCTATTTCATACATTTGGGGGCAATAGGTTAATTTTCATTTTTAAGTAATATTAATAGTGCGACCAAATTGCTTGGGGGCAGCTTTAAGTTTTTTTCGAACGGTTACCAGCAGATATGCTAATCTATATATTCTAAACTCGATTCTGAATTACTTACATACTGAATCCACGTCTGGTGTCCCGAAGGTGAAAGCTAATAATTGTCGAAATTCTCTTAAAAGTTGCAACATACTTTTTTTTGCTAACCGTTAAGTAATTAGAGTTACTGAGGTAAACTAACGACTATAATGACAGTGTCGAGTACAAGATTGGCTTCTACTGAGTTCTCCAAAACTAGTTCACAATGTATCTTTTGGCAAACCTGAGGCCTTTTTTTCGCTTCGGAATTTCTGTCACTGGTGACTAGACTGAAAATTAGGCCATCCCATCACTTTAACAAAAACGCGAATTTTTTAAGGGTGTGTTATCATTACAAGCCGCTGACTCTGTATATATATTGTGTGTTAGTAAGTGAAAATGTAAGTCCTCAACATCTGAACTACCATATACTTAATAATGTTCAAAATAGTATGAGATTTCGGTTAAATGTTCATGCTCCGGGTGAGAGCAGAAATATGCGTATTTTTTGATAAAAATACGCGTACCTCTGCTTATGTCATTATCAATACACACTAACATGCTTCATTCACAGCGTGCTAAGTTACGCTAAGTCCCATCATTTGAAAGTCAGTAAAACATTTGATATCTTAGAGGTTATAACCTGTAAATCCAGATGTCTATAAATAAGTTGACACATGCAAAAATATTGTGATCGACTCCATAAAATGCCTCTGAAGTAAACATAATAGAAAAACATTTCTATACGTAGTTTAATCCTGTACAGTTGCATCCTTTTGCGTTGCTGTGCACCTCCCCTTCGAAAAGCACTACTAATTTCAACTAGAAGTTTTGTTCGGAATGAGAACGTGAGTATATAATATCCTAGCTTTTCAAATAAAATATAAACAAAGAATCCTAGAGCAACTACTATCTATAATTCAATTTTCCTCCTTTCCCATGCATCAAGATTGCAGTCGAAACCCTAATATACCTCGGCATAATAGCGTCTTCATATGACTTATTAAACTACGTGAAGAGTACTGTGTGGTATTGAAACGAACTGATATAAAAAATTTATATTATGATAAGTGGTTTTTGACTGTTTAAAGCACTGCAGGAAGCTAGATATAGGCTGCCTAATCAACAATAAAGCTACAATTAGCACTTTATATCGTCCAGAATCTTACAAAAAATTAAGAACATTCAAGGCCTCTTGCGGCAGCAATTGCAGCATATCACGCTGCGAGTTCTTTTTTGTACTTAATTAATACGCTGAAGGAAGACTAGGAACTTGACCGGATTTGAGTTGTAAAATAAGCCATCTCGGATGGTAGAAGTTGCGCCCGGTGTTTTCGCACCAGGTCGAATCGTTGACGTTTCCAACTGTCCATAAGCTTATTTAAGCCCTTGTTAAACTATTCGCCAATTATAGGTACTGTACCACACAGAGAGAGGAACTCGGAAGTGAGTCTGAGAACGCTTCGACAATGGCAGCATTTGTCTGCTATAGCGTACAATAACGAAAAAAGGCCGCTTCTTGTGCTCTGAGAACCATCATGGTGTAGCTTTTACGTAATGAATATATCAAAGTATCTACGCATGTCCCGAACTTGGAACATATAAAGATTCTTCATTTCGTGATTTCTGAAGAACGAAAATCTGCGAAGGACAAAGACAATGTCGCCGACGATTCAGATTCGCAATGGTACCTTAAGAGAACTCAGTTTACGTACGCCGTTCGCAACAACCGTTTTTCCGGCTCATCCTAAAGTATCAACAAGGATTTGTTTGACGACGTCAGTAGAATGTAGCAATCCAAGAGCCACCGGTTTATCCTGCTAGGGTACTGCACTATTAAATATGTGTTAGTTTTCCGATAACAGCTGATGCTACTATTCCGGGCGTGATTCTTAGTATGACAGAGGAGATGAAAGGAACAGCAGGCCAGTAGGACCGAAGGGCAGAAGAATGTGCGCAAAAATGATATAGCATGCGTGATGTTGGCAGCAATAATACTGAAACGATCCGTGTACCAGCGAAACGAACTGTTCGAGATTAAGACAAAGAAACAAGTTGAGAAACAAGCACAGCAATACAGCATGCAGCATATTAAAAAAGACCAACAAATCTATTAATAGGAGTACTCCGTTGAGTTGAAAACGATTGATGCCAAGAGGTCCGAATGACGATATAAACCTATATTTTCGTAAATCTATACAAGAAAGACCATTGAATGGGCACACTCACAAATGTAAAAATGGTAAGGATTATATTGAGATTCGGATGAGGTTACTGAATTTAATAAACCCGTAAAGCATATAGAGACATTAGTTTACTGTACCGCAGTATCAAAGATATTAACGATGTTTTTTTTATAGTGCTAGTGAATTCCACAGTTAAGTAAAGCCCGAGTTAAACGATCACACCAGTTCGTCGCTGTTTATCAAGTGCAGTGACGTGGCGACTAAGTGTAAGAAGTAAACAGGAAAAAGTACATAGAAAAAGAGCACTTGTTTCCAAGGGCTAATAACGGTAAAGAAAAAAGGACACTGATTAAGAAAATAACATAAGAGTAAGGTTTCCAAGGGCTAATAACGGTAAAGAAAAAAGGACACTGGTTAGGAAAATAACATAACAGTAAGGGAAACAACGAGATTCGTTTTCAAAAAGAAATAACGGTAAAATTTAGAAAAACAATTCGACAACAAAATCAACTACAAAACAATTTGCTATTTGTCTGAGATACAACCAAAGGATGCCCATTATAAGAAAGAAAGCTTTACAAGCCTATATCAAACCAAGTTTGAAAATCACTTGAACCGCACAGCGTTACCATTGGGTACTCAAATCTGCTTAATTTTTCAGACACGATTACATGCAAGACAAGTAAAAGTGCACAGAAGTCTTAAAAATAGCGAATTTGTTAAACCAAATCGAAACGGTACATAATCTACAGTAAGGACTGCGTACGCATGGGAGTATCCTTAAGTGACAATTGAGACACTTCCAGATAGGTAAAAGCAGGTTTACATAAACTGCTTTAATTTAACCCCACGGAGTATCATTCTAAATACAATAAGCCGCATGAAATTTGGTGATGCTCCTGGTTAATGTGATTATAGAGAGATGCACAAGCCGTTGAGTGACACATTGAAAGATGTGCACTGAGCTATATATAATATATATATATATATATATACATATAACAATACCATATCATCGTCCCATGAAGGCACTTCAATGCTCGAAGATAAAGTACGTCTTGGATTTTGTGAGCATTCTCTAAATAAACTAAAAAAGCTTTCCTACGTTTTCCGAATTAGTATGATAACCTATCGCAGCAGCGAAGGAACTAAAGCAACTCCCAACAAGGGGGAAGGTTTGTAGAAGCCCGATTTACCTGTGAATGCCATAGGCATGATGTCGTTATTCGTCTTGTTATTCATGGACGACTGTGACGTCCGACACTACGAACAACGCTTTTTGAAATCGCGAGGACAGCTTGAACATCGTAACCCAGGTTCACGCAGTGTCATATTTCGCAGCATGCTGACGGGGAAAATTCAGTCTGCTTAATCCGTCCATACTAGAGTACGAATTAAAGCGGATCTGAACCCGACTTGAGTTACTAATACTGTAGAGCAAAACGCAAAGATAATACGGGCTATAGTACTTCTTTTGTCTTTTGTCGTGTATTCCAGCTTACATGAGAATCTCTAAAAATAAACAAGTGATGAGACTTGCAAAATGCGCTACTCAGAAGATACCATGCACGAGGATATTACTGAACGCTGTGCAATCAGAGAGCAAGCGGATGAGAGACTGCTGCAATAACATATGGATCACAAGAAAATACAAAAAAAATTTTTAACTAGCGTTAATGGGTGTAAAGGTGCGCACAAGTGGAAATACTGGTGTTAGCGATTCTCTACAAATTGCAGTTATGGTCCTTTAGAATACAGAAGGCAGCATACAAATGTTACTTAATACAGCGGATAGCTTATGCGCTGCGTACAATGTATATAATGCAGTCATGCACGTAGGCATAGATTAAGATTAATGAGACGTCCTATAAGCTAAAAGTGAATTGAAGAAAAAGATAAACAGAAATCAAGCTAGTAGATCTGAATTGAACGACAGGGTTTGACCAACGTATACTGAAATGCTAATTATGGTCGTGATAAGAAGGAACGCAGCTGTCAAAAAAAATTAACGTATCCATAGGATATCTATTTAAACACATGCATGAAAGTGCGAGGAAGTATGTATGATAAGGTACAATGAATAAGGAACTTGATGTGAGGTAAAGTTCTAGGCTTTAGATAGAGCTAAAAGGCGCATATACATGTATATACGTGGGGACGTAACTAAGTCGCTCAAATATTTTGTATCCGCGTGTTCTATTGTATATAAAGATCAGCATGGCTTAGCTACTAAAATAGCTATTGAAGTTACATATTTAACTCCAGCAACGAAGTTGACTCGAACATACGTGCGCACATGGCAAACAACGGACGAGCTAGCAGGGAAGAATGAAAACGGCTGGCAGCCGAGTTTCGACATTTCTTTCATGGAAAATACTTCCTCCTATCCCACTGATAGCGGTGTCAAATGCTGCGATTGAGCGTTGAAATAGGCGAACTGGTAATCACTAATTAAGATATTCAATGGACATATCTGCACGACAAAGATAAATTGAATTATCTATTATGAGGGTGCACACATCAACTAGGTGGAGATTGCAAAAGTACCTAAGACTCACATTATGGAGGTCGAGGAACCAGTCAGAACCGTTCCAGATTTCCGTTGCGGTCGGGAGGAGGAGGAGTAACCCCTTCGTCACCCGAGAACAAGAATAGACGTAGTGAAAGACTGATCTCGATCTACAGCGAAGTCGACTAAGGTAATCAGTCAGCAATTTTACTTTGAACAGCAGGTATGCTTTATTTTAGGCATACCTTATTTTTTGGCATTATAAATATAATATTTTTTGATACAAGGTATTCAGTCTCAAGCAATTGATATTGAGATGCCACTATTATAATCAATCCACACAAACATTTTTTGCCCACGTTTGCTTAAAAAAGCACTAACAACAAAGCTTCTCACCCAGTTTTTCAGGTTTCAAAAGGTACGTGGAGTTCATCTCATAGATCATATTGTTTAATATCGCATTTCGCGGCAACTGGCCCATTGCAGCTTTCAGTAGCAAATCAACAGTGATGTAGAATTGGTTGTTACCTAGCATAGTGCCAAGCTTGGACATAAAGCATTTAGCTATTCTCCACGGGTCAAAAGTCGTTTTCGATCATGATCACATCGTGAATTACTTAGCAATTTATTGTTTTTTGGGATTGTCGTAACCCAGAGGAAACATTATGAGATTTCCATCTACAATACGGTATTTCTCTTCGAAAAGGTCGTAATTGTGTGTTCTAAATGTCCCAAAAAAATCAGTGTCCTAAATGAGGTGCTCCAATTCATCAGTTCCGCCTAGCGATGTAGAATTCGAATCATCGCTTTTTGAACCGTCGTCAATGGCTTTAAATTTATTAGCATCTCAGGTTTAAAGCCATTGACGACGATATGCATCAGCACTACACGGACTGTCAACAACGAATTCGGCGCGCAAACCTTCAGACACAGAAAGACCGTCTTCGCTGGGTGAGTATTCATCAAACGTAACCTAGAACGCATTCTCTACCCCGGTAATTTTCTTGAAGATCCTGTAGCCTAGTTTCTGAGAATGTTTTGATTGTACTTGGTGATTTAAACTAATAATAGCATGCATCCTTGGTACGAGAACGGCTCACCTATACAAGAGACGAGTAGTGAAGCGGCTTCCTTGTCCACTTTAGCCATTGTGACAGCAGCGTCAGCGATGAATACAAAGGGTATGTTGAACCCCATCATGCCGATGAGATTTGATAAGCAGATAATCACGAAAGCAGGGTTGCTCAGCAGAGCCGGGTCAAAAATATCGCCTGATATATTTGCACACATAACGAAAAAGCTCGTAAACAACAGCACCGCTTAAAAAGTAGTGTATTATATATATATATATATAAGGGTTTAAGACCAAGATGTACTTAAACTGTTGTTTGTTTTATTTCATCTTCCCCATATTTTGTTTTGCCTTTTAATTTCTAGATTGTCCATTGTCTAGATTAGTCGATATTAGTCGATTCCATCCAATGTAATCTGCACTTATTCTTTTTCGTTATATATAAAGGATTTTACAGCAATACACCCAGTGATACATGGCATAAAAAGCACAATGAAAAAATCCGTTAGGACTATAAATGCAAACGTTAGTTTTCCTAACGGGCGAATTACCAATTCGAGAACACCCTTTACATCAAAGGAAAGTAGGATATTTCGGAACTCGAAGGAATATTCTAATTTCTTTTGCAACTCTAATTTTAAACACTCAAACCACTGTGATACTAAAGCAACAAAACTGGTCAATTCAACTATCATTATACTTTCGATTATTTTGGCGAAGTTGCAAAAATTATATTAATCCATCCATTACGTTGTATATCGTAAAATTTTTTACAGATCATGTTTTAAATACATAACATAAACAGAGCAATAACTTAAAATTTATTCGACAAAAAAAAGTGACAAAGCAATCTCTTACAGGCTTCGAAAATCATGGTGTGAAATAATATCGCCATGTGGAATACTGCTACTGGGCCTCGTAGGTGTGGATTTGACAAGCGCGTTTTGGCGCACTTGAAAAGATGAGAGTTGAATTGTTAAGCATTTCTTTAGAGAATTCCTAGTGGTCATGTAGGTGACCTTCGACTGCAGCTCTGTCACTGGTTCCCCGGTTATCAAACAGGCTAGCCTACAGCATCAAGCGGTTAACAAAAGTAACAGAAACATTGTGATAAGGTATAGCGTGTTGTTGGGGAATTAATGAGCTTGGAGCAAAAGTGGGGAATAATACACCGCAAATAATTCACGTGGTCACTGTGCAAGCTCCTTGCAATTTCTGTGTTTCCAATTAGCAGTTTGCAACAGCATCTCTTTTCAGCAGTCATTATAACATACAGGGAATGTGAGGTCGATTGGTTCTTGAACACATTTTCTATTTAGGGTAGAACAAATAACGGAACAAACAGAGTAGCATGGAAGCGAGGCAGGGCCAGAAGATCATATTATTAGTAATAGTGCCTGATACGAAATCCGCAGGCTTCATCCCTACAGCGTCGAGTAAGCTACGGGCACAGTTAGTAACGTTCAATATGGTCGAGCTTAAACAGTCAAACTGTTGTTTAATGCAACGGATTCGTTCCGCGTGTTGGACAGTTGCCGAGGTAAACTGGTAAATGATACACTGACCCTAGGAACTCGCTTCGATGATATAATGATTACTTGACTAACTTTTCCTCGATAAAACACTTAATTCACGTTTCTGTACAGTACAGCGAGTCGTAGCACGGTCTAGAAAAAACGTCCGCGAATAACAATTAATGATGGGAATACTGACGGCAAGTGAACAGCGAAGCAGTAGCTCTTTATAGAGATGCAGGTACGTTGTTTAGGCGATGTGGCGAGTCCTTGCAACGTAGCGATGGGTCGATGTGCTCGGGAATAGCCACTTTCGACTTTTTTGTTGACTCGGTTCGTTTAGTTGAAGTTGGGGATAGAGCCCATCGATAAAGCGTTGGCAATAGTCCACCCTATATTAGTACGGGACAGTGCGTTAACTAAGCTGCTCATTACTAATATGAGTTCCAAGCCTATGAAGACGAACGCGGTAATTTAATGAATTGAAGGATAAGTGTTGGTTAATACGAGTACGGACATAGATCAAGTCAACTATCCACAAGTGTCCAAATCGTTAGCAATAGGCGCCAAAAATCACCTCAGCCTGAGAAGTTCCCAAATCGCGTTTTGAATGACAAGAGTAAACTATTTTGGGTAGTTGGAGGTAAGGGTTACCGTTGGAGCCAAAACATTTTAGGTGGTTCTGTTTATATCTGCTCTAGTGAGAATTATGCAGCCTAAAATGGCTAAATATAAGACAGCGCATTCATGTTTAGCCGTCATTCACAGGTTTTCAACGTTGTACAGAGTTCCGGCTAAATTTGTTTCGGACAATATGTTCACCTTAGAAAGGGTCTTAAAATGTCTGGTGTTTAAAAGGCGTTGTGAAGCGACAAGGTTTAAAATTATTGTGACCAGTTAGAATACCTCACGAAGCGCGTGATGCAAAATATCACGAGCGGCTAATCGGCGCGGCGAAGACGTGCCTGCGAAGGATGATTGACTCTCGTAGGGTAGCGCCTATGACCAATTGCTCTTTTCCATGACGTGGCTATCATATAATCAGCGGCCCCTTACTCGAACGCCAGATAAAGCAGACGAGCTTTGTCCACATCAATGTTTCTAACTCCACGAGTTTCGTTAACGTTACGACTTGTTCAGTTGGTCGATGGTAATGGAAGTCGCAATAGTCTTGTTAAACTATGGCGCCAGCAAAAACAAATGCTAGGTGCGTTTGATAACGATGGAAAAAGGAGTACTTGTCGATACTCCGTACAACTCAGTTACAATTACACAGCCGAGTGTGGCAGGCGGTTGGAGATATTGCACTGATTGATGAGTAATAGTCTAAATTTACGAATGGATGTTGTAATTAAACTTTAGTCACGACAGGACACAGTGAACCGTAGTGCTGTACAAGCTGAAGCATTGGCTCTAATGTGTGGCTGTGACGTCGGTGTCCAAGGTTTAAGAAATTCACATTTTTTTAAAGGGGGAGATGTGTCACGGATCAGTGAAACTATAATGGGAAGTAATGTCATTATATGGAATACTGCTGCTGCGCTCCGTAGGTGTTGATTTGAAAGGTTTGCAGACAAAAGGGCTCTCCTTCTCGACCTCAATTGTCAGGTAGTTCTTTAGGAGGATCCTAGGGGATGATCAAGTCAGCTTTCAAATGCAGCCACGTCATTTGTTTTCCGACTATTGTCAATGCAATATCAAGCTGGCTCGCCTAGAACAGCAAACGACTAGCAACTGAAGAAAGTGGTGCTAAAGTTAGTAGTAGCGTGCGTTTAATTACCGTTTAAAGAAGTGTGAAATGATAAATCGCAAATCATTCACGTGGTCAACCTGCCAACAATTTCCGTACTTTCAATTAGCAATTCGCAAGGGTATCTTTTTGTAGGAATCATCCTAGTGTACAGAAAATGTGATATTAACTGGTTCTTAAACACATTTTCTATTTAAGGTAGAAAAACGAACGTAAAGAAAAGAAAAATATTAAATTTTTGAGTTCGAAAACACTGGACCCCTTTTGGGTTAATGTATACTGTAGGTCCATACCACATGGGAGAAACGGCCTTTACTCTTAAAAGCATATTAATCGAGAATATATTTTTAGCAGATGTCTAAACACTCTAGCTTAGAAACTTCTTGAGATGTTCCCCCGCAGTTAAAGTATGCAAGAAATATAAGGTTTTTGGCTTATTACTTCGTGTTTACCAAAAAGTCGTTGGACTACCGTCGGAAAATTTGGACTAAATTTTCAAATAGTAATTGTCAGTTTCAATTTGGTTCTCATATCGAAGGTAATTGATATGCTAAAGATGTCCAATTTTCACTTTCTGTTAGTACTGTATATACCTATAAACTCGCAAAAGAAATGCGTAAATATATGCAGATTTATAAGTTATCCCTAATCAAAAGAAAGGTGCTTCTTGATTTAGTGTCTTCCTCAAGGATTGTACACCCCTGTAGCTGCCTTTCTAATATAACTATTTTGCATCAAAGGCAGCCTTCGCAGTGCGACCTAAAATAAACATGTAAAGTGGATATCGTTTCCTTTATCAATTTACGATGGCTTTTATTTGTCTAGTCAAATGTGTTAGCCGAGTTGCTTCTAAAGGAGGACCCTGTTTGAAATATTTGTGATACATGGAGAGTAGTCATTCAAATCTAAGTTTCGCAAATGGGGCTAGTGAGTTCTTTTACCTCCTGTGATTTAAACTTTTTCGACTCGGACTCCGCAAGAGGTGTAGAGCGAACAGCCTCTTTAACATGCTGGAACTTAATTTTGCTTATCTCAAGTTTCTTCTCATATAGCGTAACTTTAATGGGAAAAATAAATTAATATAACGATCGCTCAGAAGATAATCGTGCAATTCTCGAAACAAAAAAACGGCAATTTTTTCGGTCAATTTCTTCTTTATTTTAAAAAGTGAAAAAGAATAGAAACTCAAAATAATTCTATGAGATGTTTTAAATAGTTTACGGGTTGTGTATAGATTTAATTAACCGTGTGGGAACTTCGAGACGAAAAACAAAAGTTGACTAAGAGACACCCACAAGATTGCTAGTAATGTTGTCATGACCTTTTTTCCAGAAATGATATCATTGGTTGTTTTTGTCTTGTTTGGTATTTATGAGAATACCTCACAATCTGGTAGGCAAATTCGAAACAACTGTGTATTTGCAGAGCATCGTATGTCGCTTGCACGTATCGAGATTCATACCATTAAAATTTTTATTTATAGTTTTTTTTATTAGTTAGTGAAGGAATCGAGCTAAACATTATCATGACTATAGAGGGCCTTGATAGCGTTTCGTTGTCTTGTGCAAGCATGGTATCGATAATTCCAATATGAGTGAAACTGCATGTCTTTGGTAAAGTGGAAAGGCAGTTTGGGAATTCCATTGCTACCACTATCCTCGTCCCGTCCTTCCCCACAACGGCAAGTTTATCTTTAAAAATGATATCGTGTTGTAGACAATAAGATAACCTAGTAAAGCTTCTATCGCATCATACTATTAGTGGTTCAACCTGTAGCTCAGGTGTTACGGCTAAAACGTGGTTGCTACCGGAAGCATTTATAAACGGCCAAGCATAATGTCAGATCAACGTCCTCTTAGTTATTTTTAAATGCCTTGATTCATTGCACAGCTCTGAAGCTGATAAAGTTTCGTACAAGTACAAATGGACACAACACCACGTAAAAGTTCAAGGAATGTGCCTTGAAATCTTAGATATTACGCATAAGAAGCCTTCAAAGCTGTTCGTTACAGTTTTGGTTATGAAGAGCGCACATATTATAGTCGGCGCTTTAGTTTAAGAGCTATTTAACAATTCTGTGAAAAAAAGAATGGAACCAAATACAATAACGTTCATTGTATGTCTGTTCGGCTCAAGTGCAGATGACTTACTCAAAAATCAAACAAGGCTAACAGAATTGCGTTCATATTTTTGAGTGAGTCTTAACAATCGCATTTTTTTCTTCGTGCTTTGAAAGAACTATGTATCTCGTATGTTATTGGATAACCAATATTTACCTCTATGTATTATAGTTACCTTATTGAGGGAATTGCATAAAAATATATTTAATCGAATTAATTTTTACACGAATGCATTCATTGCTTACGATCTGAGTAACTATGATACAAATATTAAACCCCCCGATTGCCCATTAAAACTTAAGATCGTGCCTAAGAACCTTGTTACGTATTACAATATCATAATAACGAATAGAGGTAGCTAATCAAAGCTATGAGTTTAGATATGTACGTGCGGATAAATCCAATAGAGGCAAGATATTACAAAACCAAAAAAAGAATATAAGTTTTAGAGGTGTACGTTTTAAAGGATATGAGAACCTACAAGATAGAGACAAAATATAGAGAAAAAGACTAGATGTACAATTACAGTTGGGGTTTGGGCGTTACGTATGTAGTTATTTTTAAAATTACTCTTTAAATTGCATACCTAATGTGTCGCTCATGGCTGATGGCAAACAGGAGCATAAGGAAGATCCTGACGTTTTTCCCAGGGGAACTGGATTTTCTCCCGGGAGTGTTAACACCGACGCGATATAGGATCGGACATCGCCCGAGCTTTGACGAAATTCAGGAAGATTCCGGATTGAACCAGAGTAGAATATATCCTTGCGATACATTGGACGACCGAGGTCCTTGATAGAACGACGCATCTGATAGTTCGAAAAACAATACAGTAAGCAGATTGAAAGCATGGATATTATTAATATTCTTAAAATGTATTATTGATGCATTGTAATGAAGTATGAAAATAAAAATATGAGTTCATCCGAACATAAGTCCAGCTCTATAACGAATTCAGCAAGCTAATGCCCAATTAGCGTTTTGTTGGTTCTACACAGAGAAAACATATATGGTTTAGCTAGATATTGCTACCAGAATATCAAATTAGTTTTAATAAATAAGTGTTGCTAGTTTAAAAAGCTTAAAAAGATATTATATACATTTTGCACAATTTCAATAATCGGTCCTGTACTATTGTCAATTGTAACTTAAAACAAATGCATTAAAAAATTAACTCGCGAGAAGTCAGCGGTCCGTACTAGAAATAGTCTGATGAGAACTAACTTTTTATAATATTTTATAGTCTAACATGAAAATAATTATTAACTTAAATAAAATTACGTACATTTCGCAAGGTTTCTTACGGAAACTTTCCTCTTGGTCTTCTTAAATCGATAAAGAATTTTTAATTTAATGACGTATAATACTTTTGCAGATAACAGCCAAAAAAGCATTGTACAAAGTAGAATGATATGTGTTAAACATGTTCTACCTTATCTATCTTAGGAGGAGAGACTACTAGCAACACGCAAAAAGACTAGATATTTTGCAATTCTGTACCGAATGACCAGAAATATCCTTTCTTGTTCACTGATTAGAAAGATCCTTCAATACATTACAATAAAAAGAAAATGCATTTGATGGGCAGTAAGAGAGAATATTTTGCCACAATTAAACGAGGGTAGAAAAGATATTTTGTGTGTTTTTGGAAATTAAATTTTGATGCTAGCTTCTGCACTGGTGTCAGTTCTGTCTTTTATTGGGGATCTATCTGTGATTGATTCACTTGTTTGCGTAGACCATTACGTTGTTTCATTCGAAGCAATTACCGAAGTAGTGGAGTTTCTGTGGTAAAACGAATCTTAAATTTAAAATTCTTCGGGTTTGGTCACGGTGTTCAGGAATATCATTGAAAAATAACAGGTCCCTAAAGTGAGAAATGTTCTATAATTTCTGATGACCTGGCTAAAGTTAACGCTGCCTAAGATACCCCAAAGCCTTGCATACTTTCTTGGCAATTTCTTATGTATGATGATGATTATAATATGATAAAGGCTCTATTGCCGATCTTTCTACATCAGCCCACAATAACAAATTTTAAATTTTCAATTAATAATTACTCCCCAGTAGCTCAAAAGTCTATATTTTTTTGGTGCCGAAAAAAATCACAGTCGATCGCGTTGTAGCTAACTTAGAGCTGAGATGGTTTTTCAATCCTCATCAACGTGGGTTTGTCAAGGGCAAATCCACAGCAGCACAGCTTGTAGCAATAATTTAAGGCTGAGTATAATTTCAAAATCTGCGAGTAAAATTCGGTTACATCTACTTTAACGTTTCCAACGCTTTGGCCGAATTAATTATGATCTTCTACCTGTGAAACTCGTTAAACCGGGAACTGACCCAAGCTCCATAGTTGAAGAAGCTACCGGCACCTATTTTTCGGGGGGAGCACGCCTTTCGGGTTTGCTTCCTGTCATAACCTTCTTTCTAGTCATTTTTCATGGACATGGAGGTTGTTCTTCCAACTAAGGTTCGGCAGAGGCTCTATAGCGATGGTTTGAAGCTGTAGCGCCTCAGTTAGGAGTAACGCTAATCATTTATTGCTTCACATGGTAATCAATGCTGTATTTTCATGGTGCTATGCCAATGATGTAATTTCTATCCCAAAATGTTTGACGAACAGGCTAACAAGTACCATGAAAATAATAATGTTTATTTCTCTAGTGAGGTCGGTAAAAAAAACCAAGTAGTTACAATCTCGCCGGAGCTAATTGGAATCTTCATGTTAACCGGATAATTAGATTAGTATCCATCACCATTGGCCTTCTTTTTAGAGAATCCCACATTTTATATTAGTCTTTATAAATATCTCGTTGCTTTCAAATTTATATATTGTTCTGAAGTTTGGCAGCCCTATATGAGAAAACAAATTGATGTTAATGAACGGATTCAAAATTGGTTCGCCCATAGTATTGCTTTCAAATGTGGTGTTGATGGAACTAGTTTATCTCTTCGGAAGGAGAAGTAATCTTATCTAAGTTGCGTTCTAGACCTTAGTATGTTTAATGGATTACAGCTACCCGGTATTCAAGTAGTCAATATCCGGAATAACACACTCCCTAGTAGAGAGGCGGGAAAGGAGAAAGCGGAGCTAAAAATGCTTCGAACTAAGAAACTATAACGTTTCTATGACGAGTTGCCCATGAACTTCATTAGAAATAAATCAAAATAATATTATTTGTACAATAATTGTTCACGGTACGACTGTAGATATTTGAAATATTGTAAGTGTATTAATAATTTGCCTTATTTGGCGCAATGATGGCGAATTTGACTTAGCTATTATAAACTGAAATCTGTTTTTGCAAATAGTGGTTACTTCTGGCTTTGTCGGTTCTACTTTTATTTTCATCTTTCATATACGTGGTGCCTTGATTTCGTGTTGCAATTTGCTGTTGGATTCTACTTTATGTATCATGATCGAATCGGTCAAAGAATAATATTCTTCATTTTAAAATCAAGTAGGAAATGATAAATTTCTCTTTATAAAACAACTTAAGTTGAATTTGTTATTAAAGTTAGCACGCCAATTTAGTTGGTCGCCAGCATATACTTTCTCGTTTCGACAGAAAATTCACGGCTTGGTTCCATGCTTTTAATGGAAACTCGAAATTGGTAGAAATTTATTTTCGCATTGTTCTAGTTTTTCTGCATAGAATAATTTAGGAAATTTTTATTAAACCGGTTCGGTGCGCTTCGAAAACTCTACACAAAAAGTCTTTTGACGTAGTCTACTTGAATGTGGCCATCATTATAATGGACCGAATGTTGATCTTTAGGTATCATTATACGATTTTGGCATTTGTATATAACCTTCGATGACACTGTCGATTCAAGTCCTGCAACTATACCCTTGAACAGCATGTTGCACTCCTCTTGCCCACAGACAAAATTAATTAAGTTGATGGACTATCCTTAGCCTTACTGTTAGTATCACTTTTTAATCAATGACAGTTTTTTTGTCAATAACCCTTCTATTCGATGATACAGAATGTGTATATTGCTGGGCTGCAAAAGAAAAACATTCACAGTTTTTAGTTAAAGAAAAATACTGGTTTACTTCAACCAGTCTTCACGTAGATTCTACGGGAATGAAACATTTCATGGGACCTATCCAAGCAGCTGAATTATATAGGTATAAAAAACCCCTGTGCAAAAATATTACAATTCAGTTATGATCGAGCACAATATTTCAACAGTTTGGAGTTACACAACCTCCTGTTGTGTCCAGATAAGTGCCATAGAGCTAAGTCAATACAATTAGAGTTTACTTTAAATTTTAAATTTTCACAAACTGACATTACTTTTAGTTAACGATGACTTATGTGTGTTGATATAATGCTTGACTTACAACAGCACATTACACTATTCCAATTCAACTAATCTCGGATAAATTCGTCAGGCAAAGCATATAATTAGTGGAGACAACAATATCTGAAAAACTTACCTCGTGATTGTTGAAATTATTAGATGCGGCGATGGGATTAAAATGTTGAGCCGGCACTTGTGGGGCATTACAGCCCCCTCCTTGGATGAGGTTAACTCCTGCAATTCCTCTGTGAGCGCTGAGCGGTAAATGCTGATGAATAGATGATCGCGAAGCGCCCATAGCAAATTTAGGCGTTGAATAGTTTCGTTGAATTTCTGGTTGAACAGTAGATGATGAAGCTGACATGGTCAATTTTGCTGCACTATGCGAAGCAATCAGTCCTAATTTACAAATCAAACGTATACACAACATTACCGACTCTGTTATTAAAAAAAAAATTGTAAGGAATTTCAGTCACTTTCTACTATGATTAGTAAAAAAGAATTTTTACTATAAAATGAATGATGCGTAGTAGCAAATAATACTGTATATGGATAACATCTGTCCACTTTTATTTATAAATTTCTGCGCTCATGTATTTATTTACGCATATTACTTTGTCGTATTATCCCGTTGCCATCCGTAGAACAAATCAATCAAATTATTTTAGTAATTTCGTTACCTTTCCCCGATTTTTAGTTACACTGATCCATATATTAAGCAAGTTTCTACAATAATGCAGTGTTAGTGCAGTACAGATAATGTGTTCGCCTGGTAAACTTTGAAACACAATGCTCTAGGTTTGAAACAAACACGTGCATACTATTTTGTGCTGTGAATCAACTGTCTAAAGCAGTGCTTAACGCTAGTGCCAAACGTATAACTCGAAAACATTTAAATATTCGGCAACCGTGGCGACTTATGCTTACAATTTTCCGCTATTTAAATGTAAAACTTTAAAAATAAAAAATTAGAAAGCTTAAAATATTAAATGTAAGAAAGCAAGTACGTTTTGTGAGGTATTTCTACAAAATTCGTTACCAAAAAAAAATTTATATTCAATTCTATTTGATCTTTATTAGGATTTATGCGTAAAGCAATATCTCATATAT